GACACAGCTTCCCAGGCGGGCGCAGCGGTTCAGTGCACCCTGCTGGCGAAGGGGTGTCTCCGGTTGGGTTTAGGGTTTAGGGTTTAGGGTTTAGGGTTTAGGGTTTAGAGTTTAGGGTTTAGGCTTAGGGTTTAGGGCTTAGGGCTTAGGGCTTGGGGCTTGGGGCTTGGGGCTTAGGGCTTAGGGCTTAGGGTTTAGGGTTTAGGACTTCTGGAAAATCCCCTCGAAAAAAATGAAAGAGAGTTATGACTAAAACGTCAAATGTAGAGGGACTGGGAAGGGGGGACCCCATGCCGGGTCCTGCAGGGCTACAATTGAGTTTGTCTCCTGCGGTTTAGGTTTTAGGGTTTAGGGTTTAGGGTTAAGGGTCGGGGGGTCTAGACAGAATGGCGACAGAAGCTGAGCCTGAACCTCGCACCTGTGTCCACACACCCAAGCCCTGAAGCATGAAACAACCCCCAAACTCGGCGTAAGCATCCAGTAACCTGGGATTAAAAAGGGTGCCCCAAAAGGGTGCCCCTTTTGCTTAAAGGGGGCTGATAAGGGAACCCAAACCCCACAAAAAGGGAATAAGGGTACTACTGGGCATCCTAGACAAAACCTAGAACCCAAGCCTCAATCGCCTTGCTTCAAACACCACCCCCTAATCATTTAAGACCCCAAGCCTCAAGACCAATAGCTAGGCCAATCTATATACTCCTTCATTTGGCAACCCTACACCCTTAGCACGTACCCTTCAAAATACCCTGTACACACCTCCACAAGAAGGTTGTTGTGGAACACACTTCGGCACTTATCTCAGGAACCTAAACAGGAGATCAGGGCAAACCCTACGCCGTAAGCCCACAACGCCTAGCTGCTAGTCTCTAAGGCTAGTTCCATGGCCCCTTAACTCGGTCCTTGTCCCTTACCAACAGGTTCTAATACGTGGGCCCTTGGGTTGTATAGGGTATATTACGGCATCCCCTTTCTCCAAGGGCTCATGTTAGGGGACCATGTAACTACCCCCAAAATAGTTAAACCGCCCAAGCTCGAGATCCAAAGGCCCTGGTCGACCCAGAAGCCCGGATACCCGAATTGTCAGCCCTGCTCCCGCGACCCCAAGGCCCTAAGGGCCCGGAAATTTATCCCCAAACCCTAAATCTCGAACCCCAAAACCCTAAACCCTAAACCCTAAATAAACCCTAAACCCTAAACCCTAAACCCCAAACCCTAAACCCTAAACCCTAAACCCAAGCCCCTGAGGGCCGGCGTTCGCACTTTCAGATCTTAAAACCCCTGCCGGAGCCTGCGGATCCCTCCGCGGGGCGCCGTTGCATGCATCCACGTGGTACCTCCACATATGCTGCTAGGCTTTAGGGTTAAACCCTAAACCCTAAACCCTAAACCCTAAACCCAAACCCTAAACCCTAAACCCTAAACGCTAAACCCTAGGGTTTAGGGTTAAGGTTTAGGGTTTGGGGTTTCGCATCTCATGTCCCCGCATTCACTAGTCAAGCAGCTTCTCAGGCATTGGAAGCATACCCGCCCGCCCAAAGAATCCCAGACCATTATCGCTTTGGCCATCATGGGGTCCAAAAGATGGGGAGAGTTGGAGATTTGAGCATTGTGGGATTCCTTCCGCCAAATTGCCGCCCTAGAGAGTTTAGGGTTTAGGGTTTAGTGAGGGGTTAGGGAGCTAACAGGTGCAGGGCTCAGGGTGTGACCTCGCGACGATTTACGGAAAAGAAGTGCGGCAGAGTCTTTCATGTTTTTTTTGTTTTATGGGTCTCCCCCCAAGAAGGACTCCAAATGCGTACCCTCTCCAAGATCTACAACAATGTGCACCTAAATCTATCTGGGAAATATTATATATATATATACACATACCTAGCACACCAAGAACAACGGCTTGCTTGAAGCCCGTGCATGTAGACGCTACACCCCGGCGCTGTCGCATCTTTTCCACTTCTTGTGCTGCACCAGATGCTTCTTCCCCTCGAGCGACTTCTGAACCAAAGGAGCCCGTGGGCTTCCCCCCCAACACACAAAAGGATCCCAGGATGAGGGTAGGGTTTAGGGTTTAGGGTTTAGGGTTTAGGGTTTAGGGTTTAGGCTTTAGGGTTTAGGGCTTAGGGTTTAGGGTTTAGGGTGTTAGGGTGTTAGGGTGTTAGGGTGTCAGGGTGTCAGGGTGTTGGGGTGTTAGGGTGTTAGGGTGTTGGGGTGTTAGGGTTTAGGGACTCAAATAAGGGACAGTGGGACCAACAAGCAGGGGGAAATGAGGCTTGTCATTGTTTGGCCGTTTGGATAATGGCAAGAGATGGTCCTTTTGTGGGCATCCTAAGTACAAGGCTCTGGTGTAATGGGGAACCACGAAAAAAACCAGGACTTAGAGAAACCTCCCTAAAATCTCTAAACCCCAAACCCTATATCCTAAATTAGGGTTTCAAAACCCCAAGCGCTCAAAGCATTCGTCGCTGCTTCTTAGGTGCAGGCTGGGGATCCACCTCATGGGCGCTGTCTCAAGGGTTTAGGGTCTAGGGTTTAGTGTCTAGGGTTTAGGGTTTAGGGTTTGGCGAAGTTCTTGGGTAGGGTTCTGGGCTATATTCTCCTAGCAAATTCTTCTGGGGTTTAGGGTTTATAACAAGGTCTCCTGTAGTCACGGGAATGATGCTAGCAACTCGTAATCGTAATGTACAATGGGCAAGTAAACAGGACTTGTTGTAGGCAAGTGCCCCGTCCCAAGCCTATAACCCTAAATCCATAGCCTAGCCTATAACCCTAAACGCAATAACCTGTTGCTTGGACATCGCAGGGTGCACGCAGGTATGGCAATAAGGGCCTTCGCGTCTTCGAGGGGTGAGAGTTTGGGGTGTTTGGCCTTAAGTGGCTTCTAAAACCTTGGAAAAGGTCTTATTCGTTGCAACTCTTGCATTCTTAGTTGTGCAGTAGCTTAGGGGAACTAAACGTTAACCTTTGGGAGGACTGAAATGCTCCGAAAAGGTTATATAAAAAGTCACCACCTACTACGACGACAGCGAGGACGACGACGGCTACTGCTACTAATGCTTTGATTGCCTGACTAGCACAGGTTCCTCCTCCCCGAGTGTACCAAGCCCTAGATATTAGTTCAACCCTAAACCGTAAACCCCACAAAAAAAGCTATTCTTCAGCCCTGGCCGCAGGATGTCCCAGCAGCTTCTGCACAGCGGGGGTGAGGTTGCCTTTCTTCGCCTGGGACGAGGTGGGGGATGAGCGAGGGAGGGCGGCGGGGGGGGGGGGGAATGCCTAAACCCTAAACCCGAAACCCTAAAACCTAAACCCTAACCCTCAACCCTCAACCCTAATCTGTGGCTCATTCTGACCGCCTTGGCTTGAATCGCGGTGTTCTGGGCTCCGAAAGTGGAGCATGCTGACTCCAGAGTCCGCAATCCTTGGTGACTAACTGGCTGAGGGTTTAACTTTGTACTCGTTTAGTGGGCCCTTTAAGGCTGTTCAACCTATAAATTTCATGCATATCGCGGCATACAAATAGCGTTCCGCACAAGTATTGGCCGTACAACACCCCCCCAATCTCCTACTCTCAGGGTCGCAAGGTGATGCGATCATAAGGGGCTCTGAGTAATATGAAAGTCATTGAGCCCCTAAAATTTGTAATTTATACCCGGGAATACTATGTGCCGGTGTATGAGAGATTTCTTTTGCCGCCGGAAAGGTCCTCAAGTGCTCAAACTCTGGGCTTGTTGCCCCAATCTTCTACACTAGACGGGGTTTCTGTGCCTTTGGCCCTTGTGCTACTGACGTTAGAAGAAAAAGTGAGCGAGGAAGCCGGCGAATCAACGGGCAAATAACTCTACGTAAACCCCTAACCCCTATACCCTAAACCCTAACCCCCCCTAATCCCCAAACCCCCAGACTCTAAACGCCAAAGCCCTAGAGAGTTCGAATTAAGGTACTGTAGGGTTCGGCCTAATGGTCCCTATATATGAGTATCTGAGTATACTATATATTAACCCCCCAAAACCCTTTATTTACTGAACTTGGAACCCTCGCATTTTTTGAATGCTGTTCCCTTGGAATTATAGTGCCCAAGAGTTTAAAAAAATGATTTCCAAGTACCCCCTAAGATACCCTAACAAGAACCCCATACAAAAAAACAGAAACCCTACTTAAAGAGACCACCAAGTAACATAACCCACAACCCTAAACCCTAAACCCTAAACCCTAAACCCTAAACCCTTGACCTAAACCCTAAACCCTAAACCCTTAACCCTAAACCCCTGATGTTGGCCCAAGTTGAAGTCTCATTTCGTCTCCAAGGATCCCTTCAGCAGCGCCGCCTCGGCAATGGCAGTGAAGCTGTCCACCGTGATCATCTCCTCAATGCCCTAAACCCTAAACCCTAAACCCTAAACCCTAAACCCTAAACCCTAGACCCTAAACCCTAAACCCTAAACCCTGCAAGGTATTCTGTACAGGGCTCATGATTCCAGAAATTCCCCAGCTAAAGAAAAACGAATTATGGGAAGTAGTGTTACGTGTAACTGGCATCCCGAAAATGAAACCCAAATTGATGCTCACCAACATTCCCGAGCAGCCCTCCAAAACCCTAATACAAAGACTACTTCATGCCAGTTGTGGTTCCTATCTCTGGATACCCTACACCCGAAACCCTAAACATAGGGCTGCCTAACACAAGAGGAATACCAAAGGCACCGCAATGTCGAGAACAGCCCGAACGAGCAAAGCGCAGGTGTGTGTTTGCATGCAACTTGTCCTTCAGGGCATCTGCCAGGACGTCCACTGCCCTGTGCACTTGCCAGCGGTGGGCCAAATCCAGGGCAACCAAGGCATGCTGGTAATCTGGATCACTTCGTGTCCCACACGTGTAGAGAACATCTAAGAACAAGGACACCCCGGCCTTGGTGGCGTCAAGGACTTGAATGCGCCGGCTGCAACCTTCTTTCATCGCCGACTCCAGCATAGCTTTCAGAACAGGAGACGATGCCATAAGGATGTGGTCATGGGCTGTCACCTGGCGATTGTCCCGAACAAGACCCTAGATGAACTGTGGAACCGATGTTGCCTTCCAAGACAAGAAGCACCAGGTGAGTCAAAGGCAAAACAAAGTGTGTGTGTGTGTAGATTAGTAGGTGAGGCCGAAAAATAGAAGCGGTCTGAGTGTTGTCGGGCTTGACATACTCCCTGAGAACCTGGATAAAAATAATATCCTTTGCCTTTTTTGAAAAAGAAACAGCATATTTAGGACGATAGCCATAGCTTGCAGGCTGTAGACTGTTTGGCCAAACCTCCGCCTGGCCGTCTGCCGTCTCGATCGTCACATTATGCGTGGATGTCATGTCGAGGACAGACTCCCACATGTCGATGAACCGAAGATCAACTGGAACTGTCGGCCGCCTCGTATCTTTGGAGCTGGTGAGCAGCGACATCACGCCCGTGAGGTACTCGCATTCATTAGACCAGTTCCCCTTCAGGTTTCGAAGAGTCTTGAGCCACTTTGTCGCAAGTGAAAACGCAGCATGACCAGCATATGCTACTTCAGCTTTAGCGGCCGGCGGCTTGCAAGTAGCGACTTCTTGAGTTGCACGTACAGTGGACGGAACGCATTGCGCTGGATCCGCTCCGGACTGCAACATCCATGAAACAATCTTCAAAAAGTCTGCGTGGCTGGACGCTCTCGGAACAATGCCGTATACAATCGCCGAGTGCAAGGCAGGCACTTGATCCTCGGGATTGCCTTGGCGCCAATCGAAGTTCGACGGCGTGAACCTTTTCAAGGCCTGGAAGTCACCAAGCTCCACCAAGTTGAAGATTGCACGCGTGATCTCCTTGTCATTACTTGCCATGTGCAAGGAACGCTACACCACTACGCCGGGCTCCTTGAGTGGGCTGAGATTTCTCTTACAATCTTTACGATCTTCTGCGGAATTCTGCCTTGAAACTACCGAGATGTTGGTGCATGCAATTGTTCAGGGACCTGCACTGAGACCAAGAAACGCCAACACAGACCAAGTGCTTCTGTATTGGTCGCAGGTGTCTGCAGTATCTCCCTCTCTCTCTCTCTCTCTCCCGCTCTCGTTTCCGCGCCCTTCCCTACATGCAAAGCCCTCGCTGCTTCATGACTTTAAGTACGCATGTCCGATATCTGAAACCCCACTAAACAGTCCTTGGAACCTTCGGACGACATTTCAACTGCTGCCCTTCGTCCAGCTTGCCGGTTCTTGCTCCCTTCTGTATCTTAGGGTTTAGGGTTTAGGGTTTAGGGTTTAGGGACCATTCGAAAGGAATTCGTTTCTGCGACTCTCCTCATTGACTCTCGCCACGACTGAAGGTCCAGCTTGCCCTCAAAAGCCTAAGTCCATAAGCTCTGACACTCAGCTCGCTGGTACGTCTGCGCCGACACTTAAACCCTAAAGCCTAAACCCTAAACCCTAAGCCCCAAACCCCAAACCCTATGGTACCTGGAGAACCCGCAGCGGTGATTAGGCTCAGGACTGTTGAGCCCCCTCAACCTGAACCTTGCCTAAAAGCGCTTCAGGGCCCAGGTCTCCTCTTCGAGATGCCTTGAAATAGGGTTTAGGGTTTAGGGTTAAATACCCTTTAGGGTTAAATACCCTAAAACCTAAACCCTAAACCCGCCTTTGTTGGGGGGGAGGGGGGGCTTGTTTTGACTTTTGGGGTAAACTTGCATCGTGCGTTGCGAGCTGTCTGTGCACAGGGCGTGTGCCGGCTGAGACTGCAATTAGGTGTAGGGTTTAGGGTCCAGGGTTTGAAGGGGGTTTCAAGGTTCTTGGTGCATGTTAATAGGGGCGGAGCACTTGAGGGTTTCACGGGCTCCGCGTCGCAAGGAGTTCAAAGGCTACTCATGCGGTAGTATGCGTTAGACTGTCCTAGGACAGGGGCTTGGCAACGCCACAACCCTCCCAGCAACGAAAAAGCCCGGAAAAGCCCCAAGCAGAAACCCGAAACTCTAAACACTAAACCCTAATAAGCCGCAAACCCTAAACCCTAAACCCTGAACCCCAAAGAAAGCAGAAGCGGAAGCCAGGCCTTTCCTAAACCCTAAACCCTAAACCCTAAACCCTAAACCCTAAACCCTAAACCCTAAACCCTAAACCCTAAACCCTAAACCCTAAACCCTAAACCCTAAACCCTAAACCCTAAACCCTAGACCCAATTCTAAGGCAACTATTCTCCGTTCTCACCCGAAAACCCTGCCGGGCCTCCCCCGTGGTACAGACAGCGAAGGGCCCGGGCAAATGCATTCCTTGGCTGTGAGGGGGTTTGGGGTTTAATCCCTTCCCCCTAATATTAAAGGCCCCCCCCTCCCCCCCCCTCCCTTGTCTAAAAACCCACAAAGGGTTTTTAGTATTCGGGGGGTTCTTATCGTTTGTCCGAAAAACTATCTCGTCTTTATTGTAGCATGCTGGCTCAGCAGCCGCCTTTATAAGCCTAGACAGCTACGTGCTGCGAAATGATTGGGAGGGAAGGGAGGGCTGGGAGGGAAGAGAGCTTCAGGATGTTGGTTGGTTTGAGGGTTTAGGGAAAACCTTAAGCCCTAAAGGTTTAGGCTTGGGAAACGTTCATATTTCTGCTTCAGGCTTCCGAAACCACCCCGCCGCCCCCCCTACCCCCCCCCCCCCCCCCTCTCTCTGTAGAGGCTTTCAGAGGGACAGGCACGGGATCGGGATTTTGGGCCAGGGGGTTTCTATACTAGGGGGGTATTAATATTAGGGGAAGGGATTAGGGTTTAGGGTTCAGGGTTCAGGGTTTATGATTTCTGCCGTCTAAGGTGGGAACCATGGGCCCTTAGTATTCTCCCTTCCCCTTGCTTAAAGGGATTTCAAGGGATCCGATATGATGGGCACTTCCTATGTTGTTTGGGTTTAGGGTTTAGGGTTTAGGGTTTAGGGTTTAGGGTTTAGGGTTTAGGGTTTAGGGTTTAGGGTTTAGGGTTTAGGGTTTAGGGTTTAGGGTTAAGGGTTTAGGGTTTAGGGTTTAGGGTTTAGGGTTTAGGGTTGTTTATCAGGGGACCCAAATTAAAGGCCCATACTTCGGATCCCCTATGGCTGTGAGGGGGTTTTGGGGTTTAGGGCTGTGTGGGGGGGGTTTACGCTTTAGAGTTTAAAGGTTTTTTTGGGTTTAGGGTTTAGGGTTTAGGGTTTAGGGTTTTAGGGTTTTAGGGTTTTAGGGTTTGAGATACCAATTAGGGTTTAGGGTTTGGGCTTTCCTGTTCAGGGCTTAGGGTTTAGCAGGCGGCATAAGGTTTCAGGGTGGGGCTGAACACTTTTTTCTCATATGTGGTAACACCAGGTAGGTCTGGGGGGTGCAGGAACCTAAATGCTAAACACTGCAAACAAAGACGAGTGCGGAAAGCATGATGAGGGCAAGGGTTGAGGAGGTGGACCCTAAGATTGCGGTCCAGGGATTGAAGGTTTTAGGGCTCACTTGGGACCCTACTTGCCTACAGTTTTACAGTGTCATACCTACGAAATAGAGGTTACTTACTACTACTCTGTAGGTAAATAGGGTCCTAGGCAGGGTTTTGTAGGGCTTACTGTGTGCAGTGGACGCCATTGGGGCTCCTATTTCAATACAGAACCCCGTTCACACTTTGAGGGTACCCAAAAAGGGCCCTGAATTGGGTTTAGGGTTTAGGGTTTAGGGTTTAGGGTTTAGGGTTTAGGGTTTAGGGTTTAGGGTTTAGGGTTTAGGGTTTAGGGTTTAGGGTTTAAGGTTCAGGGTTTAGGGCTTAGGGATTAGGGCTCTTAAAGGTAGGTACACGGTCCCTTAGTATGGGCCCGTTACAGGGGACTTTTTCAAACGCCTTGTATAGATCTCTTTCTCTCCCATAAAACCCAAGGGCCCATACTTCAGAGTCCCTTGAAACGATATGAAGGGACCATGTAACTACCCTTAGCAAGTAGAGAATCCCCCTCTTGGACCAATTAGGGCATAGCACTGCATTTAGGGATTTGGGTATCTCCACAACTTGGGCCCGCAAGCCGGGTTTAGGGTTTGGGGTTTAGGGTTTAGGGTTTGGGGTTTAGGGTTTAGGGTTTAGGGTTTGGGGTTTGGGGTTTAGGGAACCGATGAACTCCGTGGGTTTGGGGAAACCTAAGCCTCTCTACGTCCTCACAAGTGCCTTTCAAGTACGCATATGGAGCCCTGATCAAGGGGGCATAGGAATCCTCACCACTTAAGTCCTAAGCTAAACCCTAAACCCTAAACCCTAAACCCTAAACCCTAAACCCTAAACCCTAAACCCTAAACCCTGAATACAAACCCGGGGCTGCCAGCAAAGTTGCATAGTCGTGCGTAGCTCCAGAGGCCAGGGTGGTGAAGCCAGCTTTGCAGAGCTTCGCGGCAGCTTGGCCAGTTTCATTCCTGGGAGCTCATTTGGTGGTTTCTCTAACTTCGGGTCCCTTTTGGGGTCCTTGTTATAAGGCGGCCCCTCTTATTGAGTGTACCCCGAAAAAGGGACCATAATTTCGCGAACTGACCATGTAGAGGCTTTAGGGGCTTTGAAGGGCTTCGGAGGCTTTGGAAGTTGTAGTGATTCTGGGTGTTTAAGAGGCTTTAGGGTTTCGGGGCTTTAGGATCTTGAAGGCTTAGTTTGAGGGCTTAAGGGTTGTCGACCTTCGGTGGCTCACGGCTACAGGCGTTCGGCCTGCAAGCTGCCCCTCGTGCTTAGAGATACACAGAAGCTTCCAACCCCGCCCACCAGCCCCTACATGCTAGAACCTAGACCCTAAACCCTAAACCCCAAAGCCCACCTCCTGAGCCCCAAGTATACCCTAAACTGGTGGCGCAGTAGCCACAATCTGGATCCCCACCCCCGCCTACCGAACGTGCAATCCCAAAGGGTACGGGACCGAATTCCGCTTTTTTCGGAATCTACAATCCAACCCAGAATGAACCCTCCAACCTCCGGCCCTACACCCAACCTGTCGAAACCCTGTTTTAGGGCGTTTTGAGGCCAAAGGCCTAGGCTTTCGGGATATTCTGAGCCCAACGCAACACCCGAAACCCGAAACCCCAAACCCGAAACCCCAAACCCTAAACCCCAAACCCCAAACCCGAAACCAAAACCCTAGACCCCTAACCCCCAAAACCGCGCGCGCCCAGGTGCTGAAACGTGCCCGGGGGAGTTCGAAGGCACGCGTACACCGAGGTGTTTGCCTCAGCTCGGGGATGTCGACGAACCGGCTCATGGCTTGGAGGAGAAGGGGTTTAGGGTTTAGGGTTTAGGGTTTAGGGTTTAGGGTTTAGGGTTTAGGGTCTAAACCCTAAACCCTTAACCCCCAGAACTTAAACCTGGGGGGCTAAAATGAACCTTTAAAGGGCTTCTGGCTCATACACCTTAATCTTGTAGTAGTATAGGCTAGATGATCCCCTCATCTGGTCGCAAAGGAACTTCTAAAGCCTAAAAGCCCAAACATCCGCTACCTCACGCTTAAGCCTTCATTCGGTCCATCCTCCAATCACCCTGCCACGCGGAGGTCCCCAACGGTAGCCAGAAGTAGCCTCAGAAGGGCCTACTTGGAGGTTCATGGGTAGTTATAAGTGAGGTGGGGTTGTAAGTACAGCTAATCTACTTTTAACCCTACTTAAGAGTACCCATGAGCCTTCAAGATATAGAAATTGGCTTTTAGGTGCCGTAACTTGGGATCTAGGTCGCTTCCTGCATGTGAGTACTAGTCAAACCAAATACTCCAACTCAACCCTTAGGCCAACAATGGGCCAGTAAGCTCTTGGAACCCGAAACCCTAAGCCCGAAACCCGAAAACCCCAAACCCTAAACCCAAACTCCTAAACCCTAAATAGGAGTGCTTGGCGCCATGGGGCGGGCCTATAGCTTACTTCGTGTAGCGAATCTAGCCGAGGTTGCCGGCCGGAAGAAGCCTTTGTCACACGGCTTACAGTCCTCAGCGGTACTGATGAGCTGGAACCGACCGTGCTTCGGGGGTTTAGGGTTTAGGGTTTAGGGTTTTATGGTTTAGGGTTTAGGGTTTTAGGGTTTTAGGGTTTAGGGTTTAGCGAACCACAAGCTGGAACCGACCGTGCTTCGGGATTCTAATTTGGGGTTCGGGGTGGTGAGGCAAAAGAGTATGGGGTTTACGAGCATCAGGGTATTAGGTTTTAGGGTTTAGGGTTTGGGGTTTAGGGTGCGGCTGACTACTTTACAGCTGTATCCTGAACCTTAATTACACTAAGCAACCCAAAATCTAGGGTTTACGGGCGCGTTGCTTGCAAAACCCCATGTATGATGAGCTGCCCAAGGGGCATAAGTTGGTGTAACTGTACCTAAACTCGAAGGGTTGAGGGTTGAGGGTTTTGGGGTCCTAAATCCTACAGTTAAGCTTGTTTCATCCGGCCGTGTAAGTGGTGGTTTCCAAAATAGGGGCAGCCTATTGGGGTCCTTTTTTTTAAGGGAATCCTACTACTTGGGGGTCTGTGTCAGGGTCCCGTGTCTTGGTAAACCCCCAAGTAGGTTTGTTTGTCGCCCAAAACCCTTAACCATAAACCCTAAACCCTAAACCCTACACCCTACACCCTCAAACCTAACCCTAAACCCTAAACCCTAAAACCTAAACGGGCTTCGGAAGAAGCGAGTCGACTTTCCCCTGAACCCTGATTCCGAAATCCTAAACCGTAGGAGGTCTTGGCCTCCTTGAGGGTTTACCCTAAACCCTAAACCCTAAACCCTAAACCCTAAACCCTAAACCCTAAACCCTAAACCCTAGCAACATATGTGGAGGTACCACGTGGATGCATGCAACAGCGACCCGCGGAGGGATCCTCAGGCTCCCGCGGGGTTTAAGATCTGAAAGTGAGAACCCTTTAGGGGCTTGGGTTTAGGTTAGGGTTTAGGGTTTAGGGTTTAGGGTTTAGGGTTTAGGGTTTAGGGTTTAGGGTTTAGGGTTTAGGGTTTAGGGTTTAGGGTTTAGGGTTTAGGGTTCAGGGTAACCCTACATCCAAAACCCTCAAGGTCTAGGGTTGTTCGGCTCGCCCCTACCTTTCCAACGCAAAAACCTGAAGCAAAGCAACTGCAGCAGGCCGCCCCAAACGCCCTGAAGCCCAGAAAAAATGCCGAGAAAGCAACCACCTTAAATATTACTACATGACTACGTTGCTTCATGATTATATATTTACTGTTTTACGATGTTGCTATATGGTTGTATAAGAATACATACTGTATACTATATTGCTACAATGGCTGGATCGCAATATGACTATATTCCTATGTTATCATATACCTAGGCAATTAACTGTATTACTCGGTATTCTTATACAACGAAATTGTTGTATAACCTGAATCCCTAAACCCTAAGCACAAACAGATGTGGCCCAGGGGGCTGCGGAAGCCATGTCGAAGTATTGTCCGGGAGCACCTCGCTGATCGAAATTTGTCGGGCATCATGTTCAACCCTAGACCCTAGACCCTAAACCCGAACCCTAAACCCTAAACCCTAAACCCTAAACCCTAAACCCTAACATGTTCCAGGGCCCAGGTTTGGGGACTCCAGGGTTGAGGCTTGGGGCTTTTCAAGGTTGGCCTGCAAGAGTGGCCCCAGTTAGGGTTTACGGTTTCGGGTTTAGGGTTTAGGGTTTAGGATTTAGGGTTTAGGGTTGAATGAAGGTTTGAGGGTTTGGGCTTAGGGTGTGAGCTTACCTTGTTGAGGGTATTCATTCGGGGCATCTTATAAGGTACTTGGGGTGTCTAGGTAGGGCTTAGGGTTCAGGGCCGTCCCGGGCCTCATATCCTAAACCCCAACCCCCAAACCCTCCCCCTCCCCAAGCCCTAAACCCCTAACCTAAAGCCTCAACCCTAAACCTAAACCCCAAAACCTACACCCCAAACCCTAAACCCTTAACTAAACCCCAAACCCTCTGCTAGGCCAAACCCTCCGGAGGTCTGTGGGCCATACAACCTGCCCGAGTTCATTCAGCTGGCCCTGAAGCCAAAGCCCACACGGCCCAAAAAAGTCACTAAGGGTTTAGGGTTTGGGGTTTAGGGTTCGGGGCCAGGGTTGAAGGCCCTACACCCTGAAATCAAGATGCCCCCACACTTTGAAACCTCAAGATCAAAGCTCTAACCTCTCAAACCCAAAAACACGAGAAAAAAAAAAAAAAAAAAAACACCCAAACCCCGAATCCAGAACCCTAACGTCTGTCCCGAGTCTCCAACCCCCTAAACCCTAAACCCCAAATCCTAAACCCTAAACCCCAAACCCTAAACCCTAAACTCCTCCAAGGCACAGTCCAGGTTCCAGCTCAAGTCCACGTAGCCCGTGGAGCTCAGGAGGTGCTGGTCCAGATGCCTCCGGAGGTTCTCGGGGTCTATGGGCTTTAGCATTTGGAGGTTTAGGGTTTAGGGTTTAGGGTTTAGGGTTTAGGGTTTAGGGCTAGGGTTTAGGGTTTAGGGTTTAGGGTTTAGGGTTTAGGGTTTAGGGTTTAGGGTTTAGGGTTTGGGGTTTGGGGTTTGGGGTTTGGGGTTTAGGGTTTCTTGGAAGCTCTTTTGATTTAGTAAGTCTACTTAGCACCCCCTAGAGAACCACAATTACAACCCCCATAGCCCACCTTACTAACCCTACTTACTAATTAAGTCAGAAAGGGCTTTCAAGTCTAGAGCCTAGGGGTCTCGGGGGTTTAGGGGTCTGTGGGGCTTACGGTATTACGGGTCTAGGGGGTCTAGGGGTTTAGGGGTTGAAGGGGTTTAGTTTAGGGTCTTGGCTTTTGGGGAGCTTGGAGGTCTATGGGTTTAGGGATTGGGGGGTAGGGCGATAGGGACTTGCTGCTTTAGCTCTGACATCCTCTCAACCCTAGAAACCCGAAAAAAACACTGGCGCAAACACTAAAACCCTAGCCCCACAACTCTCAACCCTAAACCCTAAAGCCTACTCAAACCCTGAACTCTAAACCTCCCACTCCCCAAACTCCGAACCCTAACTACAAACCCTAAACTAAACCCTAAACACTAAAGCCCCTACAAAGCCCGGAGGCATCTAAACCCGAAACCCCAAAACCAAGGCAACAGGCCTATCAGCTGCGCCGGAGAGCTCAAAAGCGAAATTGGCCCGTTTTGGGCTTAGGGTTTAGATTTTTTGGGTTTAGGGCTTAAGTAGGGTTTAGGATTTGGGGTTTAGGGTTTAAGGTTGGGTTTAGGGCTTCTACGCTCCCACTGCGGTTGGTTTGGGGCATGGGGCTTGTAGGTTAGGGGTATCGGGCTGCTATCCCGTCAGGATAAAAACCCTGAACCCTAAACTTAACCCTAAACCCTAAACCCTAAACCCCAAACCCCAAACCCTAAACCCTAAACCCTAAACCTGGGCTTTGGCGTTCGGGTTCTCGAAGCTGTTATTATGCCAAGGTGGCGCTTTGTATTTGGAGCCAGGGTGCCTGAAACAGGTGTTTTGGGTAACCCTAAACCCTAACCCTAAACCCTAAACCCTAAACCCTAAACCCTAAACCCTAAACCCTAAACCCTAAACCCTAAACCCTAAACCCTAAACCCTAAACCCTAAACCCTAAACCCTAACCCTAAACCCTAAACCCCAAACCCTGTTCCATTGCTGGCCGCTGTGCGTCTCGTGTGGGTCCGTCCGAGCGAAGGCGAAGATGAGGCCGATCTTGGTACTTAGGACCTGGTTGGCTGGTTTCAGGGTTGGGGGGGTTTAGGGTTTAGGGTTTAGGGTTTAGGGTTTAGGGTTTGGGATTTAGGGCTTAAGGTCGGGGAGGTTTAGGGGCTCAAAGGGCTTTGGGGGCTTGCAGGGGATTTTAGGGGCTTAGGGTTTAGGGGGTTAGGGGTTTAGGGCTTAGGGTTTAGGGTTTAGGTTTTAGGATCCAGGCGTTGAGGGGTTTAGGGTTTCCGGAGGCAGCTCACAGGATGTCTTTGTCGGAGGCACGTAAGTCACTTGTCCAAAACCCTAAACCCTAAACCCTAAACCCAAACCTCAAAACCCAAAACCCTAAACCCAAAACTCAAAACCCTAAACCCTAAACCGGTTTAGGGTTTAGGGTTTAGGGTTGCAAAGTTTAGGGTTTTGGGTTGCAAGGTTGGGGTTTTCAGGGTTCATTCACAGGGAGGCCGCCCCCTGGTCATATTTAGGTTTACCCAAGCCTTAAACCCTGAACCCTATGAACCTCACAACCTGGAGCGCAGAGTTCTAGGGAAGTAGGGGAGGGTGGGGGGGGGGTGGTAGGGTTCAGGGCGAGGGTCTAGGGTTTAGGGTCAGCTAAGCAGGCTGCGGTACACCGCGGCAGTTTAGGGTTTACGGTGTAGGAGGGGGGGGGGGGTTGATGCATGTCATGCCAACTTTTCCTTGCTGCACCAAACCTGCCTAAGCCTGACAGCAAGAGCAGGCACCGTGTCTAGAGCTCTGCAAAAGGCTCGGAACCCTAAACCCTAAACCCTAAACCCTAAAGACTAAATCCTAAACCCTAAACCCTAAACCCCAACCCCAAGAAGCCGGACGAGCTGCAGGAAGTGTGATGTCAGAGATGTCATCTGTTGCGAAGGCCCGTCGAAACTGAACCTGAGGCCCAGGCATGGTTTAGGGTTTAGGGTCAGGGTTTACGGTTGAGGGTTTAGGGTTTAGGGTGTAGGGGTGTAGGGCGTAGGGGTTTAGGGTGTAGGGTTTAGGGTTTATGGCATTTACCCTCAAGGGTCCATGTAACCAAGTCTTCCCTATGTAGGTACATGGACCCTCGAACTTTCGGGCTCCGTCGCCCAGCCAGCTGAATGATGCAAAAAAGTGGAGTTAAACCCTAAAGGCTAAAGCCCTTTAAACCCTAGCCCTAAACCCTACACCCTACACCCTACACCCTACACCCTACACCCTACACCCTACACCCTACACCCTACACCCTAAACCCTAAACCCTAAACCCCAAACAAACTAAACAAACTCCGAGTGGCCAGGGTGAAGCCTGGGTTGCAGGCCTCAGCACAAGAGAGCCAGCATTTTTCGGAGAATTTAGGGTTTAGGGTTTAGGATTGAGGGAACCCTGCACGCAAAACTCAGCATGCAGCTCTGGCTTAGACCTTTTTTCTTGTGGCTCCAGGGGTGTCTTGATCTCAACCCTAAACCCTAAACCCTAAACCCTAAACCCTAAACCCCAAACCCTAAACCCTATGATGCTGGGCCTGGGGCTGTGAGGCTCTGTTCTAGCAATACGCAGAAGGGGAGAGTCTCCCCTGATTGCCAGATTTGGAACATCAAAAGCCTTGTAGGATACCCTGCCCCCCACCCCCCTCCCTCGTCCTACCCAGACCGAAACCTAAACCCTCAACCCTAAACTCACCCCACAAGATCGGCATTCCCTCACACAAACCCCTCCACAACCCCGAAGTCCGAGGTGCCTCGTCGGGGCACCACTCGCGGCCGGAAATCCCCAAGGCTCCTTGCGCGTGCGCCCCCTAAACCCTAAACCCTAAACCCTAAACCCTAAACCCTAAACCCTAAACCCTAAACCCTAGACCCCCACCCCCTTGAGCCTCCTAAAACGACCGAAGCCCACCCCTAGAGCTAAAATCGTCAACTCTATGGGCTTTGGTGAATCTCTAACCATCAGTGTTACGGTTCAGGGTTTAGGGCTTAGGGCTTAGGGCTTAGGGTTTAGGGCTTAGGGTTTAGGGTTTAGGGCTTAGCGTTTAGGGCTTAGGGTTTAGCGTCCGATAACCCTGCTTCACCACACCCCTCCCCCCCTCCCCCACCCCACAAAAAAAGAAGAAGCTCCCTTCAAAAAGCTCCTGGGATGAGCTCCAGGTGGTTGGCGCCGTTCAGCGGGTTCCTTGCCCGCTGGCATGGACAAGGGCATGTCGGGGCTGAGGGTTGAGAATCTTTGCTTGGCTGCACTATGACAGGTAGCTATGCACTAATTTTTTAGCTGCCCTATTAGGAAGCCCAACAAACCCAAAACGGCTAAAGATCTAAGGTTGCAGTGAAGCACCACAAAGTCTGTTCAAGGGTGAGTTTTATGGTGACGGTGTTTCGGGGGCTTCGGGGGGATTAGGGGGGTTTTACGGGGCTAATGGGTTACAGTCTTTAGGGTTTTGAGGGCTTAGGTTCTGTTTAGGGCTAAGGTTCAGGGGTTCGGAGGGCAAGCGGGCAGTAGGTGTTCAGGGCTGAAAACTTAGGCCATGAACCCTAAACCCTGAAGAGCCCTATCCCCTCAGCCCGAAGCAGGGAGATGGGATGGGGATGCCCTTGGCCATGAGATGGCACGGCACAACAACCCTACGCTTTTTGTTGACACCTTGGATGTCGAAAAGTACCTCACGTCAGCCCTAATCGCGATAAGCCATCCATCCCTCCACCCTAAACGCAAAGTCCATAGCCCCAAAGGGCGTAAATCCCCTAAACCCTGAACCCTAAGCCCGAAGCCCGAAGCCCTAAACCCTAAACCCTAACCACCCCCCCGCCCCCGCCCCCCCCCCCCCCCCCCCAAAAAAAAAAAAAAAAAAAACTGAAAAAAACGTCTCCGAGACAAGGCTCCCTGCATCGTCGGTGCGCTGTCCAGACAACAGCTCGTCCCGGAGTGGCTCTTCCTGGGGCAAACAAGAGACCTTAAACACCTGAATTCCCCTAAATCCTAAACCCTAAACCCTAACCCTAAACGCTAAACCCTAAACCCTAAACGCTAAACCCTTCTTGGCTGCACTTAGGAGGGTAGCTATAAATGAATTTTTAGCTGCCTTGTTGAGAAACCCAACAAAAGATCTAAAGTTACAGTAAAGCACCACAAAGACAAGAGACCTTAAACACCTGAATTCCCCTCAACCCTTAGACGCCCTAACCCCCAACCCCCAACCCCTAAGCCCTAAGCCCTAAGCCCTAAGCCCTAAGCCCTAAGCCCTAAGCCCTAAGCCCTAAGCCCTAACCCCTAAACCCTAAACCCTAAACCCTAGTGAGTTTTGGGGGTAAAGCTTCTGCCTATGTGGGGCTTACAAGGGTCAACCAAACGGATCCGGGTACTTGGTAAGCAGGGTTGAAGGGGCCCACATCCCATTAGGGTTTAGGGTCTAGGGTTAGGGTTTAGGGTATAGGGTATAGGGTAGGGTATAGGTTTAGGGTTTAGGGTTTAGGGTTTAGGGTTTAGGGTTTTGGGGTTTAGGGTCTAGGTTCGAAACCCTTCAAGTCCCTGCAATTTCGGTAGGTCAACCCCTAACCTGAAGGGTATAGACTCAGGGGTTGAGGGTTTAGAAGGGTTTAGGCTTCATCGGGTTCAAAAGGTCAATTAGGGTCTAGGGTTGAGGGTTGAGAAGGGTTGAAAGGTTGGGTGTTTGGTGCACTTGGAGGTTCATGGGTACTTATAAAACCGACTTATTATATAAGTCTACTTGTAACCTACTTAGGAGACTTAGGGGGGTTTATAAGTGCAGCTAGTACTTGGGGTTGTAAGTGCCCTGAACCTCCAAGTAGGTCTTTTTTTTAGCTTGGTTCAGGTTTTTAGTTGGGGAATCAAAAGGGTTTTAGGGTTTAAGGTTTAGGGTTTAAGGTTTAGGGTTTAAGGTTTAGGGTTCAAGGTTTTAGGGTTCAAGGTTTTAGGGTTTAGGTTGACCTCTTCGTGCAGAGCAGTCGCGATCCAGCGGGCGAAGCGATCTTGGACCTCCGCCTTGCGATCAAAGCAAGGGCACTTCACGGCAAGAAGGCCTAAACCCCAAACCCCAAACCCGAATCCCTAAACCCTAAACCCTAAACCCTAAACCCTAAACCCTAAACCGGGGCACCTCCTGATAACTGACGCCCTGGGGAAATAGGAGGGGATGTGTTAAGAAACGAACCTGGCGAACCCCAGAAGCTGCACAGTTTAGTGTTTAGGGTTTAGGGCCCTACCAGGCCTGCACAGGTTAGCTTGACTTTAGGTCCTGTTCTCTTGGCTTAGGGCTTACCTAGACCCTGAACCCTGAAAACATTCTAGACCTAAGCAAGCAACCATAAAGTAAAACTCCGAAACCAAAAATCTGAGCAGCAAACCTGAAAACTCAGAACCCTCAACCCTAAACCCTAAACCCGAAACCCTAAACCGCCTAAACCCTAAACCCTAAACCGGCTAAACCCTAAACCTAGAACCCCAAACCCTAATTAAATCCTGCAACGACGACCCAAGCTCTCGACCCGAAGCAGCAAAGCAAGCACACCCCAAAACCCTCAACGCTCCAACGGACCATGTGCACCCTGCAGTTGAGGATCAGATACCCTGGACCAGATGAACCCTAAAAGTGGGGTTTAGGGTTTAGGGTTTAGGGTTTAGGGTTTAGGGTTTAGGGTTTAGGGTTTAGGGTTTAGGGTTTAGGGTTTAGGGACTCGAAGCCCTCAAAATCCTGCCCTCCAGCGTTCCGGGACCCACCGCCAGCGCGCCTCCCCGTCTTTCACGAAGGAGACCTCAGCTTGAAGTGTCGTGGAGGGTTGAGGGTTGAAGATGAAGATCTTTGAAAGGGTTTAGGGTTTAGGGTTTAGGGTTTAGGGTTGAGGGTTGAGGGTTGAGGGTTGAGGGTTGAGGGCTGAGGGCTGAGGGCTGAGGGTTGAGGGTTGAGGGTTGAGGGTTGAGGGTTGAGGGTTTAGGGTTGAGGGTTGAGGGTTGAGGGTTGAGGGTTGAGGGTTGAGGGTTTAGGGTCTAGGGTTGAGGGTTGAGGGTTGAGGGTTGAGGGTCTAGGGTTGAGGGTTTTGAGGGTTGAGAGGGTTGAGAGGTTGAGGGTTAGGGTTGAGGGTTGAAGGGTTGAGGGTTTTTGAGGTTGAGGAGTTTTTGAGGGTTTTGAGGGTTGAGGGTTGAGGGTTTGAGGGTTGAGGGGGGTTTTTGAGGGTTGAGGGTTTGAGGGTTTTGGGGTTGAGGGTGAGGTTGAGGGTTTGAGGGTTTTGGGTTGAGGGGGTTGAGGTTTGAGGGTTGGTTGAGGTTGAGGGTTGAGGGTTTGAGGGTTGAGGGTTGAGGGTTTGAGGTTTGAGGTGTTGAGGTTGAGGGTTGAGGGTTGAGGGTTGAGGGTTGAGGGTTGAGGGTTGAGGGTTTTTTTGAGGGTTTGAGGGTTGAGGGTTGAGGTGAGGGTCTAGGGTCTAGGGTCTAGGGTTTAGTACTGGCTCTTAGGTAATTAGGAATCTTATATCCCAATAAAATACCTTCTAAGGGACTATATAGCAGGGCATCTGATTCCCGCATGCTCTGCTAAGAACCAGTAGGCGTAGCTACCTCACAAAATCATCTACGATTTGCTGAGAGAGCCCCTGATGCCCCCCCCCCCCCCCCCCCCCCAAAAAAAAAAAAAAAAACACAAAAAAAATAATAATAACACAAAATAAAACTTGTAAAGGTAATAATATGGGGATTACTTTCGTTTATTCTTGGGGGGGGTTCTCAGGCAAATCGTAGTCACCTGGCCATTCTGCCTCTCCATTTGGATCGCAAGGTGTGATCCATTCAATCTCTTCTTGGCTGCACTTAGGAGGGTCGCTATAAACTAAACTTTTCAGCTGCCTTGTTAAGAAACCCAACAAGCCCAAAAAGGCTAAAGAGCCAAAGTTGCAGTAAAGCACCACAAAGTCAATCTCTTGTTGGACCCCTCAGCCTCAAGCCCCCCTAAACCCGTGCACCCTCATACCCTTAAGCTCTAAGCCCATATACCCCTAAAAACCAAAACCCTAAACCCTTTCTACACTCTTCCCTAAACCTGTATTGCCCCTACACCCTTAAAACCCTAGACCCTCAAAACCTAAACACTAAACCTTCGACTCTTAGACCCTCGAAACCCTAAACCATACAACCTGATGCCCTAAACGTTGAACCTTAAACCCCTACACTCTTATAAAACTCTGACAAACATAACCTGAAACCCTAAACGCCAAGCCTCAAACCCTTAAACCCTTACACCCTTCAACCCTGACCCTTTGAACCCTGCTGTGGGGGGGGGGGGGCTTCTAGGGTTCTCAGTATGGGCCCTTAATGTGCGCCCCGTGCTTCATAATGCCTGCTTTTGTATAAATATACATAACAAGGGTCCCATACTTCGGATCCCTATAAACAAGGGCAAGGGGCCATACTAGGGGCCCATGGTTCCAACCGTCCCCTAGCCCTAAACCCCAAACCCCTAAACCCTAAACCCCTAAACCGTGAACCCTAAACCCTAAACCCTAAACCCCTCTATAACCCTAAACTCTAAACCCCTAAACCCTAAACCCTAAACCCTAAACTGCTTCCCCTGAGTAAGATTCTGGGGCATTGCCGGCGGGGCGCCACCATGTCCGTGTTCTGCATCAGCGGACCGCCATCTCGGTCGGGGTTGAGCCATCCGATCCCCATCCAGCCTCAGTGCCAGGGATTAGGGTTTAGGGTTTGGGGTTCAGGGTTTAGGGCTTAGGGTTTAGGGCTTAGGGTTTAGGGCTTGGGGTTTGGGTTTAAGTTTAAGGCTTAATGTTTGATTTTTAGGTCTCAGGGCGTTTGGCGTTTATGGAGTTTGGGGCATAGTGAGAGGTTCAGTTTGACAGTTCTGAGAAGTCTCCACATGACTCCTAGGCCCCTGTACCTTGTTGCGGTTAGGGCTTAGACTTTAGGGTCTAGGGTCTGGGGTTCGGAAGACATGGCAGGCAAGAGCCTTAGCAAGACATGCCCACAGTGAGTCAGAAAAGGACAGGAGCACATGGACCTTCTAAATCCTAAACCCCAAACGCCCTCTACCCATCAGGCCGCAACATGTGCAGATAGGGAGCCGTGGGTCTTTGCGCAAAGCGTCACGTTGACGGACTGGTCGACGAAATCCGGCGAGTAGAATATGGTATAGTGCGGACCTGTGGGCACGGCAAGGGTTTAGGGAAGTGGTGTCGGCTTTTGGAAACAAGACCGTGCTTAGGGTAAACAAAACAACAGATTCCCCAAATCTTGAAGCCCAAAACCACAATCCTCTCAGCACTCTAAACCCTAAACCCTAAACACACTAAACACTTGTTAGGGTTGAGGGTTGGGGAGTTTCCAAAATCACTTGTAGTGGAACCTCACAACCTAACCATAAGCCTAAACCCTAAACCCTGAACCCTGAGCCTACCAACTAAACCCTACACAACCACTCTGTGTCCTAGGAGCTGTCACGACGGACACCAATGTACTCGTTCAGGGCTTACAGGGTGTTAAGGGTTCAGGAGCTTAAAGGTTTCGGGGCTTTAAAGGCTTGCATAAAGGTTTGGGGATTTGGGGAGCTAGGGGTTTAAGGGTTTGGAAGTTGGACTTTAGGGGTTCAGGGTTTTAGGAGCTTACGTACCTGTGACTCCCAAACCCTACCAAACGGTTCGTTATAAACAACCCTAAGGGTCCATGTACCTTATTATTTTACACTTGGGCCGCATGGACCCTTAGGGCAAAGTTCCCAATTCAGGCCCTCAGGAGTACTTTGATGCAAGAAGGAACACCAAGATGAAAACGGACCCCAACTCAGCCCTGGACCCAGTTCATACGGTCTAGGGGGTTTAGGGGTTTAGGGTTTCGGGGTTTCGGGGTTTAGGGGTTTAGGGGTTCGGGGTTTAGGGGTTTAGGGGTTTCGGGGTTTTTGGGGTCTAGGGGTTTAGGGGTTTAGGGGTTTAGGGGTTTAGGGGTTTAGGGGTTTCGGGGTTTAGGGGTTTAGGGTTTAGGGTGTGGCCTAGAGCTTTCTGGCGGGTGTAGCCCCAATCCATGGCGAAGTTGGCATGGATGAGCAGGAGCTCCTGAAGGACACCCGTAAATCGCCTCTCCCCCGACTTTGGAGGTTCAGGTTTGGGTTTAGGGTTCAGGGTTCAGGGTTCAGGGTTCAGGGTTCAGGGTTTAGGGTTTAGGGTTTAGGGTTTAGGGTTTAGGGTTTAGGGTTTAGGGTTTAGGGTTTAGGGTTTAGGGTTTAGGGCTTCTTGGACGAAATCCAAGATCCTCTCGCCCCCTACTTGGAGGTTTAGGGTTTAAGGTCTTAGGTATAAACCCAATAGGTTACTTCACCAACTGCTGGGCATCGCAGGGCTTACTTGTCATGGCGGCTTAAAAACAAGAGCGACTTCCCACGAACTGGGTTTTCGGCTACTGGGCATCCGAATAAAAGAGACAAAGGCTACTACAACTAAGCCCTAAACCTGAACCGGACGAATAAACGGGGAGTCTTAAACCACCATTTCTGAAGAACACCCTAAAAGCAACAAACGATAATTCCTATATTGCCCTCCTAGGAAATACTCTATTTGTGGGGGCTGTAGGGGGTTCTTATGCTAGACCCAGGAGTAACCTAGGAATAAAAGGGGCACCCTTTTTGGTTTTCAGGGGATTATAAAAGGGAACCCCAGCCTTAAAACAACGGATAGCAGGGCCTACTCCGGGTCCTCGTATGCAAATAGTAGCAAGAAAAGGTCTCAGCGACACACAGTGACCCTGGGCTTCGGGTTCAGAACTATGCTCCACACCCCCGCGAGCCCTAAACTCTGAACTAACCCTAAACCCTAAACCCCAAACCCCAAGGCCTAAACCCTAAATCAAAAAAACAAAACCCCAAGCGACAACGGAAAGCTAACACCGAAAGCTGGAAACAAAAGCTAAAAAAAGTTACAAACAACAGCCAAAACCGAAAGCTAAAAACAAAAGCTAAAACCGAAAGCTAAAAACAAAACCTAAAGCCGAAAGCTAAAAGCAAAAGCTAGAACCGAAAGCCCTAAACAATAAACCCTAAACTTTAACTCGAAGCCCGAAAGCGAAGAAGGGCTCTTACATCGAAGATCGACCAGCCCAGGGCCGCCTCGACGTCGACGATGGCTGCATTGACGCCTTCGGCGTAGCTTGCGCGCCCTGTGCAGACGAGCAAGCCGAGGCATTTTAGGGTTTAGGGTTTAGGGTTTAGGGTTTGGGGTTTGGGGTTTAGGGTTTAGGTTTTAGGGCAAGGCTCCCTAGTTGTGCCCTATACCCTAAACCCCAAACCCTCAAAATCCATGAACCTCATTATTATGGACTTGGCCCCCAAAGTCCCAATATAGGAACTACTCTAAGACCAAAGTATTCCCTATTTACTAGGCTGCACTTAGGAGGGTAGCTATAAATTAAATGTTTAGCTGCCTTGTTAAGAAACCCAACAAGCCCAAAAAGGCTAAAGATCTAAAGTTACAGTAAAGCACCACAAAAGTTTAGGTACATGAAGGGTAGTAGGGTTTAGGTCGGGGAACTTCTTACCGAGGTATGAGCGCAGTCAGATCCCTCTTTGCAGCCCCTTAAGTACCCTAAAATGGCTTCAAGTAGCCTAAACCCTAGCTAGCACGAAACCTAAACCCTAAACCCGAAACCCTGCTCTATTTGGGTGTTAAAAGTGCCATGAACCTCCAAGAGGGCTTCGGAGGGGATATTGATGGGTGAGAAGTAGCGTGTTCTTCGGGATTTAGTGCTTATGGTACTAGGGTTCAGGGTTTAGGGTTTAGGGCTTCCATACTATGGGGCTTGGGGAGGTTGCTAGTTAGCATCTTGTTCAGGGTTTGGGGTTTCAGGTGTAGAGGCTCAAGGTGTTTTCGAAGTTCAAGGTTTTAGGGATTGGGGTTTACGTTTGTAGATCCAACCCGAACTTAGATCCTGAGCTCAGAAGCCCCCAAAAAAGTGTGCACTTTCAGCTCTAGAGGGGAGTTCAGTATCCCTAAACCCTAAACCCTAAACCCCAAACCCCCAAAAAGTGTCAAACGCAAAGGGTTTTGGGTTTGTGGCTTAGGTTTTTTTAATGATAGGGGATGCTTGTGCTCAAAAGGCCCTCGCGGGAGCACAACGGCGCCTGCGAAAATGAAGATCCCAAGGGCCCATTTGCCTTGAAGAGCCGCCTCTTCTTGCTCTTGACGATCCGCTGAGGAAGAAACCGATGCGAGAGGTCGTGCAGGGATTTTTCCGGATACCCTAAACCCTAAACCCTAAACCCTAAATGCCCTAAACCCTGAACCCTAAACCCTACATAGGCTGCGGAAGGACCAGTACGCTGGTGCATTGCAATGGCACGGCTGCGCACCGCTTCGCCGATGCTTGGCGAGTGAAGTCCCTTGACGCTTTACGAGCATCATCTCTAGAGCATACCTCAAAAAAACCCTAAACCCTAAACCCTAAACACTAAACCCTAAACCCTAAACCCTAAACCCTAAACCCATCATAAAGCTCCCTGAACGCCTGAACTGCAAACAAACAAGGGACTTCAGCCCCGGGCCCTCCCAACCCTGTCTACTTCGAAGTCCCGAAAGCTTCTGGGTTTACAACAAAACAACTTAAGGTTTAGGGTTTAGGGTTTAGGGCCAGTTCTGAAAGTTGTCGTCCAGTGTGGGTGCCCTATTTACAGCGGTCGGTAGAAATCTAAACCACCCTAAACCCTAAACCTTGAACCCTAAACCCTAAAATCGTGAATGCCCCAAACGGCCTGGTAGCAACAGAGTTTGCTCGAAGCGCATGTTGGCCTTGCAGACTCAAGTGCTGGGCCACCAAAGGTGGGTGCTTAAGGTTTCGGAGTTCAGGGTTTAGGGGTCGGCTGTAGTGTTTAGGGTTCAAGGCTGAAGATTTATTCGGGTAGGTACAAGGGCCATTAGCATGAAGGCCCTTACTTTTCTTACTTCGCCAAAAGCAGGGATAACAAAGGTTATATAAGCTTGAATATCCCCCGCCCCCCAGACAGCAAAAGAAACCCAAAGCGAAACCCAAAACAGCGTGAAGTTCAACTATTGTCTAAGTAAGTTTTGCAACCCTAAACCCTAAAACCTAAACCCTGAACCCTAAACCTATATATATATATATATGTATGTTATATTCAATTCTCTACACCTATACAACCCAGGGACACTGCAGAGCGTCTTCAGAAAGGTAAGGCCAATCTGGGTAGCTCTCTAAACTGAGGTCCTCGCTTTTGGAATCCTCGTTACTGCTATTCTTGTTGGGGGTTCTGAAGCAAGTCGTTGATTACAAGGATGTTCGAGAACTACTTGAGGTGTCGTCCTAGAGGGTTGAGGGTGTTTGGGTTCAGGTTTCCTTGAGCAACTAAGTCTAGAGCCAACAGTAGCCACCGACCCACAACGGCCTCCTCGGGGTCCTAGACGTAGTACCAAGGCTAGGGAGGGCCTATGACATGCGCTGCGTATTGGGCCACATTTCGCAGTGGGCATTTGGGGGTACTTGAGGTAGGCGCCGCGTAATGATTCCAAAGCCCAAGAGCCTAGCTGAAGATGGCAGGAGCCTAGGATCTGAAACAGGGTTTAGGGTTTATAGGGTTTAGGGTTCAGGGTTCAGGGTTCAGGGTTTAGGGTTTAGGGTTTAGGGTTTAGGGTTTAGGGTTCAGGGTTTAGGGCTTCCCGAAGCCATCTTTAAAAATCGCCGCACCTCATCGATCAGATCCAATCGCAGTGTCGGCTGCGTGCCATTGGCCTCCTGCCACATGAAGAATAGGGTTTAGGGTTTAGGGTTTAGGGTTTAGGGTTTAGGGTTTAGAGTTTAGGGTTTAGGGGTACCCAAAAGGACACTAATTAAGACCTAAGGGGGAACCCTAAGGGTCTATGTACCCATTTTGCATATACTTGGGCCCTAAAGGCTACTATATGGGAATCCCTTTAAGGCCCCCAAGTATATGCTATACAGGTACGTGGACCCTTTGGGGAAATAACCCTAAGGGTCCATGTACCTTGTTATTTTACGCTTCGGGCCCAAAAGCTACACGGACCCTAAGAGTACGGTGCCTATTTTTTAATATGCGGACATTTAAATAAATAAAACCAATATTTTATACTACCTCCGTGAGGGGTTGGGTGGGGCCGCCCCTTTTTTAAACACCCGGAAACCATCACCATTAAAATTACCCCCGTGGAAACGGGGTCGTCCACGACGTCGGCTGCCTGCTGTCGGTTGAAGGTGTTGTTGTGGGTTGGGGTTTGGGCTTAGACTTTTGTAATGGCTTGGAGGCTTTCAGCCCTGGGACATTGTCCTAGGCTGTTTTCTGGCTTCTTCCCACTTCCCACCCCTGAAAGGCCCCAAGCCCCAGAAATGCAGGACATTGTCCTAGGGTGTTTTCTGGCTTCTTCCCACCCCTGCAAGGCCCCAAGCCCCAGAAACCTAGGACATTGTCCTAGGGTGTTTTTTGGCTTCTTCCCACCCCTGAAAAACCCCAAGCCCACAGAAACCTAGGACATTGTCCTAGGGTGTTTTCTGGCTTCTTCCCACCCCTGAAAGGCCCCAAGCCCCAGAAACCTAGGACATTGTCCTGGGGTGTTTTCTGGCTTCTTCCCACCCCTGAAACGCCCCAAGCCCACAGAAACCTAGGACATTGTCCTAGCACGTTTTCTGGCTTCTTCCCACCCCTGAAAGGCCCCAAGCCCCAGAAACCTAGGACATTGTCCTAGGGTGTTTTCTGGCTTCTTCCCACCCCTGAAAGGCCCCAAGCACCAGAAACCTAGTACATTGTCCTAGGGTGTTTTCTGGCTTCTTCCCACCCCTGAAAGGCCAGAAACCTAGGACATTGTCCTACGGTGTTTGCTGGCTTCTTCCCACCCCTGAAAGGCCCCAAGCCCACAGAAACCTAGGACCTTGTCCAGGGTGTTTTCTGGCTTCTTCCCACACCTGAAAGGCCCCAAGCCCACAGAAACCTAGGACTTTCTGGCTTCCCACGGCCCTGAAAAGCCTGCAAAAGCCCAGAAACCCCAAAGGCCCCCCGAGAGCCCCTCGAGTATTTTTCTATCCAAACCACTGAAAAGCACCAAAACCAATTCCAGGCGTCGGCGAGTTGCCCCAAGTGCGAGGGCAAAGCAAGGGCACTTAGATTATACATTTAAACACACGGAAATTTAAATAGACATTTTATACTACCTCTGTGGCTTGTGGCCCGGGCCCGCCCTCCACATGTTTAAAAACAGTCACCGTAAGCCTTCGGGAGTAGTGGGGAGCATCAGGGAACCTTCGGTTACATACCCAGAAACCTTACATTTTACAACTTTCCACTGCCCTAAGACTTTGATCCTGCAGCCTGGACTACTGTGCTTAAAGACCCCCAAAACATCAAAAACGATTCTTCCCCTAAACCCCAAACCCAAAACCCAAAACCCAAAACCCAAAACCCAAAACCCTAAACTCTAAACCTTGCCAAACCCTAAACCCCGACATCCCGACACCCTAAACCCAGGCATGTCTTTCAGTGCATGTGGCCGGTCTCCTGCATGGTGTGCTGGAAGACGACACTGCGAGCTGACCACTTGCCACCCGCGGCATTGAGCTTCGCGAACAAGTCCGGGAACATCCTAAGGCTGAGGTAGGGTTTAGGGTTTAGGGTTTAGGGTTTAGGGTTTAGGGTTTAGGGTTTAGGGCTTAGGGTTTAGAGTTTAGGGTTTAGGGTTTAAAGTGACTCATCTCACACTGCGGCACGTGGTTGAGGGCTTACAAGGCTTAAGCTTTACAAGGCTTGGGGTGTGAATCTGGTCCATTACAAGGCCTGGGGTATGGATCCGGATTCGGGGGTTTAGGATTTAGGGCTTAGGGTTTGCGGTTACTGCTTCTGATCTGAACTAAATGGTGTACACAAACACATCAAGCGAAACAAGGCTGAAATCCTGAGCTCCCAGACCCAAGAAATCCCAAACCTCAAAGGAAACTCGCTTGGCCCTTTTAGGCTCTGCAGACATATTCCCACTTACCTGGACCTCTGAAACACTACACCCTCTACCCCGAAAACGCCAATAGCATCTGCGCGGCTGAACGCGCCGCGCCACGTCCTCAGCTCGAGCTGCAGACATTCCATGGGAGGCAAATCAGGGTTTGTAGGGGAGGGCTCAAGGTTTTTCGGGGCTGAAAGGGCGTTATTCCACTGCATTATTTGAGGGCTTTGGGTTGCCGCGGGTTTTCGCTTAGGACTTGGGCTTAGGGTTTAGGGTTTAGGGTTTAGGGTTTAGGGTTTAGGGTTTAGGGTTTAGGGTTTAGGGTTTAGGGTTTAGGGTTTAGGGTTTAGGGTCCGCCGACCCTGGCGGCGTGTTGGATGGGAAAAGGAGGTGAAAACCTCCCTCTTTCCCTCCTTACCCAAAACGGGGGGGGGGGGGGGTAGGGGGGGGTACCCCGCCAGCTTTTCCGTGGAGGAACAGTTTTTTCAAAGAGCCCCCTAACCCCCCCCCCTACCCGCCCCCTACCCCCCCCCCTCCCCCCCCCCCCCCCCCCCCCCCCCCCCCCACCCCCCCCCCCACCCCCCCCCCACCCCCCCCCCACCCCCCCCCCCCAAACAGGCCGCAAACAAAATCACCAAACCCCAAACCTTAAACTTGTTCTCCTGCGAGGTCGGCGGCTTGAGCCGGAGGCTCTTAAATTTAGGGTTTAGGGTTGAGGCTTGAGTGTTCAGGGTTCATTCACCCAAAAAACCTATGCACCCTCTGCCACAAGCGCCGGCTAGCTGCGCTGGCCGCGTCGCCCTCCTGCGTCAGGCGGTTGACGTCTGCTTGCAGCTCCGCACCTGCCGGGGGTGGGGTGGGGGGGGGGGGGTGGGAGGGTGATGTTTAGGGTTTAGGGTTTAGGGTTTCAAGTAGTTCCAGGCTTTGGGGATAGGACTGGGATTTTGACTTCAGGGCTGAATCCTCGAATATCTCCTCGCCCTCAACCCTAAACCTGCAACCCCTCCCCCCCCCTCCCCCTCCGCGGAAGGGGAGGTTTAGGGTTCAGGGTTCAGGGTTTAGGGGCTCGCTTGGCTGGGACAGGTCGGGGGGCTGATTTGGGGCTTGGGGTTTGGGTTTTGGGGCTCGGGGGGTTTAGGGATTGGGGGTTGTTGCTGGAGGCTAGAGGGTTGGAGACTAGAGGGTTGAAGGGCCTCGGGCTTGGAGGGACCCCACACTCATGACCCGGGGTTAGTATAGTATAATATAAAGGGACCACAAGGGACCACTATCAGCAATTATTCCGTAGTACCAGACCTGGGCGTGGTATCCAAGGCGAGCGGCTCACTAGGCTCTTCCGGATGAAGTACACGGCCATGTGCTGTAAGCACATGTTCATCGACGAGATCCTCACTTGAAACTCCGGGTGTTCGAGATCTTGCGGGGGCGAATGGAGTTCTCAACAGTCTTAGTTTGTGGTATGCGGGCGTCCGTGAAGTCTCTCAAATGGACCGGCTTATACAGACGCCCGTGCACTCAGCTCATTCGTGAAGGTTGCAATCAAAGAAGACAACAAAATAACCCCAAGAACACCTGTTTGTTGGTATGTTTGTTCTCAGTCATTGCATTGCTTACTCGCACGCTACTCCTTTCAGTGTCAGTACCAAGAAACGCCCACACAAGATCTGCGTACTGGCTTTCTGGCATGAATCTCTTCTGTTTGAATATTGTGCAAAACCTCCATAAAATAAGAATAATTAGTCCCCGGTGCTTGACCCTATTGCTTCTTCATTTTACATGTACCAAGTTATACACATACATACATACATACATACATACATACGTACGTACATACATAGATAGATAGCATCTATATACGTATATTCAAACGGCGCATTTATGAACACAATAAACGAAGACAAGAGGCAGAATAACCAAGAGTTGAAGTCGTCACTGTGGCTGAAAGAAAAGTAATGCCGAAAGAAAGACCGGAAATAAACGAAAAAAATAAATCGCAATTGAACTTGCGGGTATGCGAATTTCTGGGGAAAACTGCGAACCAAAAGATGCCTTAGGGTTTAAGGTTTCGAAGGCCCTACAGCGCTAATGACATAGGGTTTAGGGCTTCTTGGGAGCCCAGTAACCATATTATCGAAAGGGCACCCTTTTTGGGGGTTGGCTACCGTCTAAGGGAACTCAGAACAAAAAAATGGTAAAGGGTACCACTGGGCCACCATGGCTTGGAGTAAACCCACACACGAACCACCCCCCCCCCCCCCCCCCCCCCCCAGCTCCTGTCGCCCGCTTCCTGCTGCTGCTGTATCAGTGCCTGCTGGCAGGTTTGTGGCCTTCAGCCCTACACCCGAAACCCAAAACCCTAAGCCCGAAGCCCTAAACCCTTGGGCCCTTTGGGGGGCCTGAGGGTGTTTAGAGTTCAGGGTGTTGCTTAAGGATCTCTGCGCCATGGCAGCATCAGGAATGGCAGCATCAGGAATGTCAGGAGCTTTCGGGGTTTAAGGGGTCTTTCTGAACTGCCTCAGGGTAGCCCTAAACCCTAAACCGTAAACCCCAAACCCTAAACCCTAAACCCTAAACCCTAAACCCTAAACCCTAAACCCTAAACCCTAAACCCTAAACCCTAAACCCTAAACCCTAAACCCTAAACCCTAAACCCTAAACCCTAAACCCTAAACCCTAACCCGAGTTGGCACCACCCGGCCTCTACCGCTGCGCTTCGTGGGGCTGTCGGGCCCAAGGATGGTTGGCTGGCAGAGCCTCAGAGCAGACTGCCAGGCTCCCAATGCCTATTCTCCAAGGGTTAGGGTTTAGGGTTTAGGGTTTAGGGTTTAGGGTTTAGGGTTTAGGGTTTAGGGTTTAGGGTTTAGGGTTTAGGGTTTAGGGTTTAGGGCCTAGGGTTTAGGGTTTAGGGTTTAGGGTTTAGGGTTTAGGGTTTAGGGTTTAGGGTTTGGTTTAGGGTTGGAGTCGGGGGTTGGGGGGGGGGGGGGGGGTGGGTGCCTCTAGTATGGGAACTATACATGTACTTGCCCTAAACCCTAAACCCTAAACCCGAAACCCTAAACCCCAAACCCCAAACCCCTAAACCCTGTCAAGAAGCCCAAGGTCTCAGCTGAGTCTGGGGTTTAGGGTTTAGGGTTTAGGGTCTAGGGTCTAGGGTTTAGGGTTTAGGGTGTAGGGTTACGAACCTTTTTAGGGGTAGTACCTTTGGACCCTTAAGGTTGTACCCTTCAGGGCTTAAGGTTTCGGGTTTTGGCTTTAAGGTCTTGGGTTTTGGGGGAACCCTTTTAAAGATCCTTGAGGTAGTACAGGGGCCTCATTCGGAGTACATCAAGGGGAACCTGTAGGGGTACAAACCCCAGGGGTACGAGGCTGAATCCCTAAACCCTAAACCCTAAACCCTAAACCTTGACTGAGTGCGCCGCACTCCCTCTTGAAGCACTGCCGCTGCGCGCTGGAGTTTCCACTAGAGACCTGGTCCATAGGGTGTAGGGTCCATAATGAGAGTTTAGGGTTTAGGGTCCATGGGTTTAGGGTTTAGGGCTAAGGTAGCTTATAATAGGCCCAAGTTGAGGTTGTACGTCCTTGCTACCTCAGCTATGGCCTATAAGAATGCTTCCATTTTTCATGATGTCTTAGCACCTACGAAGGTAAGAGGTAGTGTACAAGGTGTGTGTAGCCTTGCCTGAGTTGTCTGAAAGTGCCTAAGCACTGAACCCTAAACCGACACTCTGCAAACCCCAGACCCTGCAAACCCTAAAGCCCGAAACCCTGCAAGCCCTAAAACCCTAAAACCCTGACACCCTGCAGCCCTAAAGCCCGCAGCCCTAAACCCTAACACCCTGCAAAGCCAAAAGCTCTACTTGGCGGGGCTTCGGCGTTCCTGCGAACATCAAGCCCTAAACCCGAAACCTTAAACCCTACAACAAACCCCAGCCTGAATTGGGTCCAGGCACCTTCATGGTACAGAAATGGGCCTCAGCGTTGTAAATGAAAACATGGACCCTCAAGCAACCCTGAGCCTGAAACCCCAAACCCTAGTAAACCCTAAACCCTCAACCCAAAACCCTAAACAAAAAAAATAATCACTTAAACCCTAACACGCTCAACCCCCAAGCCTTCTCAACTCCCCATGTAGGGGGGGGGGGGGGGGCTTAACCCGACCTCTAAAACACTTGCTTGGATCTGGTGCCGGGCACCTGCACCAAGTCGCCGATGTACAAGCCGTGCACGTTGCAGAACTCATAAGGCCTTGCCCAGCGACAGGAGTTCGAGTTTGGGGATTTTGGTCAGTATAGGGTTTAGGGATTGTAGTTTTTAGGGACACCCTCAACTTACCGGTGTCCTTCAAGCTCAAGACGAGGTGTCGCATCTTCGCCCATCATCTTCTTTTTCATATGCTCACGCTTGAGGGCACTGGCCTGAACAACCTTGAGGTTTTCAGTGTAAGCCTTCTTCAAGTCGGGCGTCTTGTCGATCTTGGAAACTTCTTCAGCTGACAGCTTGCAAGAAGCATCCCACTCCAGGCTTGAAGGAAAAAACCTAGAACCAAGCCCCATAAAACGAACCTAGTAACCTAAGACCAAAAAGGGTACCCTGCTATCTTGGCCAAGGACATGCAAACAGCATCTGCAATGTGGCTTGGAGGGGATTTGTGTTTTGGGAACAGTCAAACCCTAAACCCTAAACCCTAAACTCTAAACCCTACACACCCTACAGGACCTCCAGCACCGGATACTTAGGGTTTAGGGTCTAGGGCGGGCTTAACTGCAACTCGAAGTGGCTACGGCAAGCACTGCGTAGATATGTGCTTTGAATTCCTCAGTATGTAGAGGAAGGAACTCAGAATTTGGGGGTTGCCAGGGATAGAATGCACCCTGAACCCTGTACCCTGAACCTTAAACCCCCCAAAAACCTTAACACCTAGCCCTAAACCCTAAACCCTAAACCCTAAGCCCAAAGCCCTGAGCCCTAAGCCCTAAGCCCCAAGCCCCAGGCCCCAAACCCTATCCGAGGCCCTCTGGAAGAAACAGCTCTCAGCCTGAAGAACCCGTCTGACCGCGCCAGTCATGGGTGGGAAAGGCCAAAGAAGGTTCAGGTATTTGGGTTTGTCTGAAAGGCCTTGATGTAGGGATATAGAGAGGGCTTTGTTCAGGGATTCTAGTAGGGGTTGCAGAAGAGCCTACATATCTAGACTAGCTAGTTTGGGTAATTTAGACTGTTCATCCCGATATACACTAAAACCCTGAACCCTCAACCCGGCTCATGTATCTGCACGAGCGGATGCCCTGAACCCTAAAGCCTAAACCCCTGAAACGCTAAGCCCAAACCCTAAACCCTAAACCCCTGAAACGCTAAGACCTAAGACCTAACGCCCGAAGCCCCAAGCCCTAAACCCTAACCCCCTAAAGCCTGAACCCCTAAACCCTGAATGGCCTGAGGAAGCCGATACCTTCCGGCACCTGTCGCTGATGGACAAGACAAAAAAAAGGAACATGGACATGGAGGTTTCCGGGTTTAGGGTTCAGGGTGTTTGTTCCAGATTTTGGTCCGGTCCCCCGTATCCTTCTTTGGTGTACTGTTCATGAAAGGGATTCCCAAAAGGGGCTTAAGTTTGAACAGCCGCTCGTGCTTTCGAAGGGTGTCAGGATATTAAGGTTTATGGTTAAGGCTTACCTAGGTACTTCCCCGCCACCAAACCCTCAACCCTCAGCCTTACATGCCCAAAGCATGCCCTGCACCGACTGAGCTCGTCATATTGAATCTCCCGAACATTAACTTGCCTCTCCAATTTCCACAGAAGAAGGTTAAACTTGATGAAAAGTTTAAACCTCAACCGTTGTCTAGAAGAAGTCGAAAAAAGTAGGGCATTTGCAGCGTTGGGGGTTTCAGGTTTCGAGTACGATCTCAGCACCTGAGGTGTAGAGTTTACGACTTAAAGGGCTTCTCCTTGGAACTCGGCTAACTATCTGTCCAACCATAGCTCAGGAAGGGCCAAGAAGGCGAAATCTGTTTGAACCACACTGGCATTGCCATTCCGCCCGCACCACCGGGAGAAAATCGTTGCATCATGGGCAGGCCGGTGCCCGCTATATATCCTTCGCCCTTCCTCAAGCTCGAACCCTCTACCTTGCGCCCAAAACCCTAAACCGTAAAGCCTACATCCTGACCCCTACCCGGGACCCTATCTACTTTGTACAGTTTAGTAGCAAGTACCCCTGATTTAGTAGGTAGAACCCTTAAAGCTGTCCCAGGTAAACCTTAAACCCTAAAACCTAAACCCTAAACTTGCCTAAACCCTACCTGGAAGACCCTAAGCCCTACCTGGAAGACGCAAGTCGCCGGCGCTGGATCTGTGGGCAGCCTTGGCTGGGGCCGACAAACCAAACACCTTTGTGAGTTTAGGGTTTAGGGTTTAGGGTTTAGGGTTTAGGGTTTAGGGTTTAGGGTTTAGGGTTTAGACAGATAAAGCCTCAAGCCCAGGGACAGTTCACAGAGCGCCACAAGGTTTCCCAAGTCGTCCACGGCCTCGGCCATCGGCGCTTTTTCGGCTCAAGGCTTGGAGGGTTGAGGGTTGAGGGTTTAGGGTTTAGGGTTTAGGGTAACTTGGGGACCACATGAACCTTAAACGGGTTTACTAGACCCGGGAGTACCTAGGAATAAAAACGGTACCCTTTTTGGTTTTAAGGGGATTATAAGAGAACCCCAACCCTACAAAAAGGAAAAAAGGGCCTACTCCCGGTCCTAGTTTATGGTTCATTCATAAACCTTACTATAGGAATTATCGTCGTATTGACCCCAATTTCCAGGGTTCGTGTGGTCCCGAAGGTAGGGCTTACAAGGATTTCAACGGCTTCTACTTGGGTTATAGTGATTTACGGGGCTTACAAGTGTTTACAAGGTTTTACAAGGCTTAAAGGGTTTTGTAAATCTTGATAGGGTGTTTATGATGGTTATTGGATTTAGAGGGCTTCTAGAGTGAACGGGGCTCGTATGGGGTTTAGGGTTTAGGGGCGTTGTGGACTTTTTGGCTCAGGGTGTTTGTTCTGGGCTTTGGCGCCCCTCTCTGGACCTAACCCCTGTGCACCTCAAGGCAACTCAACAAGACCTTAAACCCCAAGGGCCCTAGACCGCTAAACTGCAGCTATGAACCCCAACATCCCTAACTACAAGCCACCCCAAACCCTAAACCCTGAACCCTAAACCCTAAAAACCCTAGACCGACATCCATGGCCTTGCGCTGGTTTGGGGTTGGTAGGGTTCAGGGCGAGGGTTATCAGCTTAGGGTTTAGGGTTGAAAGGCTAAAGCCTCAACCAAGAACACTGCTGAAGGCCGAGAACTGCGCAACGAAGCAATCCCCTCCCCCTAATATTAACCCCCCCTACCCCCCAATACTAAAAACCCCCCATGAGACTATAATATAACTATAATGGGGGGTATTTAATATACAGGGTAGGGGGGTGGGGGGGTTGAATATTAGGGGGAGGGGATTAGTCATCCCAAGCTGCCGTTGCTGCACAAGCATGCCGCCGGGTCAAAATGGTGCAACAGAGCCAGCGCCCGGAAGTGGCGATGTGCACACAACAGTACTGGGCGCTCAGCTCGTACTCACCCTGCTTCGTGCACCGGCGTCGCTTTGCGGAGAAGTGCACGGCACACCCGACCAGCCCTGCCTCGGTGATGTGGCTTGTCCGGAGAAGAGAGGCCACTCGTGTGACATCGAATCTGTATGCGTCCTCTCAGCCGAAGGTTCTCAAACCCTACCTGCCGGACCTAGATGACTTGCAAATCCAATTTATTTGTCTTCTCTCTTTTATTTAGATGTCCATTGCCAATTGATAGGCGCTCGGTCTTATTCTTATTCCAAGCTCCTGTATTCTATAATTTGTAACTTTCAAGAAGGGGCTCGCAAAAATATGCCCGCGGGCTCACTTAATTGGATTGACAAGAATGGGCCCGCGGGAAAAGGACTTCATTTATCTATCTGAATACTCAGGAATGCTGCCATTGAAAGTGTTTGCAACCAAAAACAATACGGACCCTAAACCCTAAGCCCTAAACCCTAAACCCTAAACCCTAAAGCCCCAAACCCTAATAAAACATGAACAATGAACCCCCAGCCGGTACGAACTCCTTAGGGGCAAAACCGCAAAATGTTACGATCCGAAACCCTGAACTAAAAATTGCTTAAGAACCCTCAAAAAAATTAAAATGAAAATCCCTGAATTGACCTCATAAGGAATGCTCAGTTTTTGATTTTTTTTGGGGGGGGTTCTTGAGCAAATATTAGTGAACACTGTTGGGGGCCCCGTAGACGGTGACCCCTAAACACTAAATCCCTAAACCCTAAACCCCAACACCCCTAAACCCTGAATCCCTAATCCCTAAACCCTACACCCTAAACCCTAAACCCTAAGCCCTTCCTAGTTTTTGGGGCTTTGGGATTTACGTGATCAGCACTGCATCCCCAAGCTCGTGGACTGAAACCCCCAAAAAGGGCATTAGGGCTTTAGGGGGTTTAGGGTTTAGGGTTTGGGGTTTAGGGTTTAGGGTTTAGGGTTTAGGGTTTAGGGCTGCTATGAACCCTGAGGGTCCATGTACTTAAATACGGAGTACTTGGGCCTTAAAGTACCTGCTATATATGGACTTTGGGGCCCAAGTGTATAATAAGAAGGCGCATGGACCCTTAGGGCTTTAGGGGTTCTGAGGGGGGTTTAGAGTTTTACGTGCTAGGAGATTTCGGATTCTTTTCTTGGGAGGGGCGGGGTTTAGGGCTTCGAGTTTCAAATTCTAGTCATAGCTAGTGAATGTACATGACCGCAACTCAAGGCTTCATGTTGGCCCGCGCGGCGTAGACGTGGGAGATCCAGTGCACCACGTCTTTGTCGTCGGAAGGGCTCATGGGGTGAATGAGACCGCCTTCATGTCCTGGGCTTGGGGGGGCTCTTAGCCCTATAAGCCCAGAACCCAAAAGCCCTAACTCTAAACGCTAAACCCTAAACCCTAAACCCTAAGCCTTAAGCCAATTAGCCCTAAGCCCTAAGACCTAAGACCTAAGACCTAAACCAGATGTGAGGGCTGAACGCCCAAACACGCGCGAAATCCGGAACGCAAAGCCCAAATCCCACATGGAGTAGAAATTTCTACTAGTAGTAGTAGTAGTAGTAGTAGTAGTAGTAGTAGTAGTAGTAGTAGTAGTAGTAGTAGTAGTAGTAGTAGTAGTAGTACGGTACTACGGACGTGAGGTCATGATTCATATGAAAGTGAGACTACTAAGCACACAAACCAGGAACACTACATCAAGTGCTGAGGACAAGAATGTCGATCAGCATGAATTTTACTAGTTGAAACCCTAACCCTAAACCCTAAACCCTAGAGTCCCCCAAAAAGACACCCCTCAAATGCGATCCCAGCCCACCCAATCCCCACCCCCCTTGAGGTATTAGGGTTTAGGGGGGGAGGGGGGGGGGGGTGGGAGTTGGGACATCGGGTCCCTATACATGGTCAAAGAAGGGTTTAGACATCTGGACCTGACTATAGACCTGAATCACCCTAGTCACCCTGTTTACCCTTAGTTACACCCTGAACCCTAAACCCAAACACCTATAACACGAACTACCTTATGAAGCCCTACACCCTAGCTATCCTATTCAGACCTCGATGAATGTCTAAACCCTAAACCAGAAATAGGCCCCAAACCCCAACCACACTAATTAAAAAACAGCCTTATGCCCTGAACCCCAAGCCCGAAAGCCCTAAACACTATACCCTAAAGCCCAAACCCTCAAGCCCTAAACCCCAAACCCCAAAACACAAGTCCACTTCAACCCTACACCCCTAACCCCTAACCCCAAAGAATCAACTCCCCAAACCACTCCCCAAACCCCTAAACCCAAAAGCCAAGAGCTCTAAAACCGTGAAAAACTGCCAAGTCTCCCGGTGTGGCCCCGATGCCCACCACGATGGTGGCGGTGGTGCCGTCCAGCAGCAAGTAAGGGCTGTGCTTGCCTGTGCTACGGGCTTAGGGCTTAGGTCTTGGCTTAGGGTTCAGGGTTCAGAGCTTCGGGTTTAGGGTTCGGGTATAGGGCTGCGCAGGTTTTAGCTGCTCAGGGTTGCAGGGATTTGTGTCGATAGGGTTCAGGGTCAGGGGTTAGGGCGTCTTATTTCTAGACCTTGGGGTAGTATTTGGCATTTATCGAGGGAGATGTCGGGTCTCTAGCCTTGGGAGGAAAGGCATGGTTCAGCCCCAAAAGCCTGAACAAAAGAGCCAACACCTCAAACTACCCCTGAGCCCTAAATCCCCGATCACCCCAAACCCGAAAACCTAAATCCCAAACCCCAAAAGACCTAAACCAGAAAGATCCCTCAACCCCTAAACTCTATAAACACATAAAGCCAAATCGCCCTAAAACCCCGTAGAAACCCAGAGCCCTATTGAAACCATCAAACCGTGGGTGTGGACACCTCACAAACTTGAACCGCTCTGAGGACAGGTACTGTACAAGGCCTTACACGGGCATGTGCGAAAACAATAGGCCGTGACATACATCAAGACAAAACAACGCTTTTGGTAGGAATACCCAAGAAGGTACAACCCTAGTGTAAAGGGTATGGTGAATCTGCTGCTCTTAAACCCAATAAGGGAAACTGCAAAATATCCCAAGCGCCTGCCTAGCTAAGGAACAATTCGTAGCTATCCTCAGAAAACCCGAGAACTCTGAAAGCCCCCCCAAGACACCGACCCCCTGTTTCTAGGGTTTAGAGTTTAGGGTCGAAACCCCCGCGCTTGAGCTGCCGCAGTTCGGTTAGGGTTTAGGGTTTAGGGTTCAGGGTTCAGGGTTTAGGGTTTAGGGTTTAGGGTTTAGGGTTTAGGGTTTAGGGTTTAGGGTTTAAGGTTTAGGGTTTAGGGTTTAGGGTTTAGGGTTTACGGTTTAGGGTTTAGGGTTTAGGGTTTAGTTTAATGTTTAGGGTTGTGAAGACTTCATCTTTCTTCTTCTTCTTCGTTTGCTCCAGGTCCATGATCCAGCCGAAATGGTTAACCGCTTGGAGCTCCAACTGTTGAAGGCAACACCTGAGGACGAATCGGCAAGGCTGCTCTCCTGAGCGTATTGTTTCTTGCTTGTCCCCATCCAAACTTGCGGGCGGTTCGGGCACATCGTTCAGTTGTGGCCGGCGGCTTGTTGTCGGGTGTTTCAGCGTGCTTTGTGTCAGGCTCGGCTTCTGGTTGCTAGCCCCGCTCTCGCTGGGAGGCATTCCTGCCTTCAGCAAGCATTGGACACCGCAGAACACTTCATTGGCCTGGGCAGTTTAGCGGTGTAATAGTTGTTTAGTACTATAGGGCAACAAGCCGCAACAGCCTGCAGGATCTTGGCTCTGCCATCTGCACGGATACCTACCACAGGTGCTGCACCGTTCTGGCTCCTTTGGGGAAGGAAAATGGGAGAACGAAATCTACTGCAAAATCACAGAAAGGGGTGGAAGCCTAGACCCTAACCCCTACAGTAAACCCCTACTGTAGCCCCCTTAACCCCTAAACCCCTAAAACCCCTAAAACCCCTAAACCCCTGAACCCCTAAACCCCTAAACCCCAAACCGCGGCCCTGTGCCCCCTAATCTTTCTTTGTCATTGCTAAATTTTTTTGGTATTTGACTTATTATATGATTATGGGTCAAAGCCCTGAAACCTAAACCCTAAACCTATGATACACAAAACCTCACTTGCAGGAGCCCTGCCCGAAGGGCCCAAGGACCCTCCTACCGAGGGACAGGTGCCTCCTCGCTCGGAAGGGTTCTGGGTCTCAATTCCTTGGGTTTTGAGGGCCCAAGATGGCCAAAGTACCCCAAATACCCTAAAACCCTAAACCCTAGCCCTAAACCCTAGCCCTAAACCCTAGCCCTAAACCCCAATTCAAACCCTGAGCCAAAGGCTCAAACCCCAAGCCCCAAACCCTCATAGGCTGCCTGTGGGATCAGTCTTAGGCTGGAAGTTCTCGCGACGCTGCAGCTCCCCTTGGGACGCTGCACCGGGGTTTGGGGGTTTGGGGGTTTGGGGGTTTGGGGGTTTGGGGGTTTGGGGGTTTGGGGGTTTGGGGGTTTGGGGGTTTGGGGGTTTGGGGGTTTGGGGGTTTGGGGGTTTGGGGGTTTGGGGGTTTGGGGGTTTGGGGGGGGTTGGGGGGTTTGGGGTTTTTTCGGTTTAGGGTTTAGGGTTTAAGGTTTAGGGCTTAGGGCCTAGGGCCTAGGGCTTAGGGCTTAGGGCTTAGGGTTTTCGGGGGGGGGGGGGGGGGGGGGGGGGGGGAAGTGGGTTTCGGGTTCAGGGGTTTGGGTTCTGTTCTTTTTTGGGGTAATATGACTATAGTTGGGTTCAGAAGTGCGGTTAGAATTGGTTCGTAAGTTCAGTCACAACAGGGTTCAGAAGAACACTTGGTTGTGCTTTCTTTCTGCAAGGGCAGTTGCAACTGAGTGGTTTGTACGCACCCCTAAACCCTAAACCCTAAGCCCTAAACCCGAAACCCTAAACCCTAAACCCTAGCTGAAGCTCTGTCAAGAAGGTGTTGGGGGTATCCTACGCGCCTAAAACTCTTGGGTTGATGCGTAGCATGGGTTGAGGGCTTCGGGTTTAGAGTCTGGGGTTTCGGGTTCGGGGTTCGGGCTTCAGGGTGTTACAAATGAAGATTAGCAAGTGCTGGTTCAGCCTTTAGGGTGAACGTTCGCTCATTCTCGGAACGGCCTTGAGGGATGTGGGTCTCGACACCGAGAAACATCTATCTATCTCTCTCTCAATATATATATATAGGTACACACACACAACGACATGTATATGGCGTATGAAATAAAAGATCCTAAGCCCGAAGCTTTAGACCCTAGTACACACACAAAGAGATGCTTTCGCCACCCTTACGTACCTGTTGATGCTTATATCACGACCCTGTAGCCTGAAGACCCAGAAGAGCATCTAGACGCATAGAAACTAAACCCAGGAGCAACCTGGAATAAACGGCGCCCTTTTGGGTTTGAATCAAGGGCTTAGAAGGGAAGCTAAACCCTAACAAAAGGAATTAGGGCCTCCAGCTCCTAGATTGAATGGCCTAGAGTTTTAATCAAAGCGTTAGGAGTTTTGGACAATACTTGAAAGGCTCCCGAGTCCCTGCAATACTTTGAACTTCCCCAAGGGGTTGAGGGTTTAGGGTCTAGGGTTTAGGTTTTAGGGACACATCCGCAGTTTGTTTTCTACAAGAAAACGCCCGAAACCCTCGAACCTGAACCCCTCCGCTTCCCAGAAACCCTATGCATTCTACGCTGGTTTAAGGTTTCGGGTTTATAAGTTTTAGGATGTAGGGTTCATAAGGTCTAGGGTTCATAAGGTTTAGGGTGCATAAGGTTCAGAGTTTAGGTAGGATGGCCCTTAAACCTTCTGAAACAAATTCAATAAACATGATCCTCTTAAGCCCAGTAAGGGAAAAGACAAAATGCCCTAAGGGCCTAGCTTGATAAGGTTTTAGGGGGTTTTAGGGTTTAGGGTTCATAAGGTTTAAAGTTCATAATTCATAAGGTTTATAAGGTTTTAGGGCTCACAAGGTTTTGGGTTTAGGGCTCATAAGGTTGTAGAGTTGAGGGTTGAGGGCAGCCCCGGCGGGCCTGTGAAGGCCTGGCACGCGGAGACCTGGGCAGCTGGGGAGGGGGGGTAGGGTTCAGGGTTTAGGACTTGGGGTTTAGGGCTTAGGGTTTAGGGTTCGGAGCTTGGGGCCCCTAAACCCTAGTAATCCTAGTGGCCGTGGCGCTTGTTCATGGGTTTTTGGTGCATGTTGGCCCCTGATGTTGGGACGGCCGTCGTCCTATTATAGGGTTTTTGGGATGTTTCCCCTCAATACTAACAGTCCTGATACTAGCAATTCTTAAAGGGAGCAAAATTGGGGGTAATTACTATAATTTGTATTGAGGAGCTGTTAGTATATATTATAGGGTTCTTAAGGGCGGGGTTCAAGAGGGGTACCTAGGAATCTTAGGGAAGCTTAGGGAGCCTGAGGCAGTAAGTAGGGTGTATTCAGGAAACCTTGGGTTACATACCCCCCCTTGAACCCCCTCCCTCGAGAACCCTAGAATCCTTGGGTCGCCAGACACTGCTGCTTCGCCCCTGCCTCTTGTTGGTGTTAGCGTTTTTTTTTTTCGTTAAGGCAACGGTCGCTACTCATTGCAGTGCAAAGGAGCTCCCGGAGTCTATCCCGAAACTGATTCTTGGCTGCACTTAGGAGGGTAGCTATAAATGATATTTTTAGCTGCTAGGGTTTGGGGTTTAGGGTATAGCGGAGGTTCTTGGAAACCTATAACCCCAGTTATAAGTCTACTTATACCCTACCTGGGGGACTTGGGGGCGCTTTTCAGTACAGCAGCTCTAAACTAAGTACCCTGAACCTCCAAGTATAGCCCTGCAAGTTTAAGTTTGGGTCTAGAGTTTGGCGTTTATGTTTACCCTCAACCTAGGGTTTATAGGGTTCATAGGCTTTTGGGTTTAGATCCCCAAGCCTGAGAACCCTGACACTCTGAAGTTCTTCAGAGAGCCTCACCTTGGGGACGAAATGAACCCTAAAATAGGGTCATATACCCTACACGACTATAATTTCTATTAGGGTATATGAACCATAAACCCTTTTAGGGTTCATTTAGTCCCCAAGGCAAGCCCTGCTGTAGGCCTTCAACCTGAAACCCTCAACTCTTGAACCCCGAGCCTTATGAATCCCGAACCCTCTAACGGCCCTTAACCCTGTTCCTCCCTTGAACTCGTGAAACCCTTGTAAACCCTAAACACCAACCCCCCCCCCCCCCCCCCCCCCCCCCAACCCTAAACCCTAAACCCTGAACCCAAACCACCAAAGCCCAAACCCCATGCCCTAAATCCTAAACCATAAACCCCATACCCGGCATCATAAACCCTAATCCCCAGTCCCCAAGCCCCCAAACTCGAAACCCCAAACCCCTAAACCCTAAACCCTACACCCAAAACGCCAAATTTGCAACACCAAGTCTCCGATGTCCCCTCCTCGCAGTGCCGGAGCCTGGGAAGGACAAGACGAGCTCCAAAGTGTTGCCAGGTTTAGGGTTTAGGGTTTGGGGTTTAGGGCTTCGGGTCTGGAATTTGGGGTTTAGGGTTTAGGGGTTTAGAGTTTAGGGTTTACGAAGAGTTCAGGGTTTGTGTAAGGTTTACTCCCTTCCCTCCACTGTGCTACTGTGTTTTGAGAATCTCAACCCTAAACCCTAAACCCTAAACCCTAAACCCTAAACCTTCTATCCATATGCCATCTTTTGGGAGGCTTGGGGCCTGGCTTAGGGCCTAGTGCCCACCATGGCTTGCACACCATGTACTTTGGAGGGCTACGGGCAAATCAAACCCTAAACCCTAAACCCTAGACCCTAGACCCTAAACCCTAAACCCTAAACCCTAAACCCTAAACCCTAAACCCTAAACCCTAAACCCTACGCTGCTTACCCCTATATCCGAAAGAGCCCGAAAGCCAGCATGCCTAGGGCTTTTGTGGCTCTCACGGCTTCGGGTTCGGAGGGTCTTGGACTCTTCTGAAAGGCGTCTAGTTAGGGTTTAGGGTTTAGGGTTTAGGGTTTAGGGTTTAGGGTTTAGGGTTTAGGGTTTAGGGTTTAGGGTTTAGGGTTTAGGGTTTAGCGACTTGGGGCTTCGTTGGGATCAAGGTGCTCAACTCTTCTGAGGCTCTTGCTTGGGGTTTCTTCTTGGAGGCCAGGGTTTAGGGTTTGGGGTTTAGGGTTTTAGGGTTTTAGGGTTTTAGGATTCTAGGGTTTTAGGGTTTTAGGGTTTTAGGAATGTAGGGTTTTAGGATTCAGGGTTTAGCTACACATCCCCCCCACGAAAATGATTCCCAACACCAAATTGGGCGGACATCAGCCAGAAAATAAAGCTGCATGTTTAGGGTTTAGGGTTTAGGGTTTAGGGTTTAGGGTTTAGGGTTTAGGGTTTAGGGTTTAGGGTTTAGGGTTTAGGGTCACTGTGTAAGCCTTGTTTGGGCCATGTTTCTTGGAGATTGGCATGCCACGCTTCTTGGAGGCCCTAAACCCCTAAACCCGAACCCCCAAACCCCAAAAGGGGTTTAGGGTTTAGGGTTTAGGGTTTTAGGGTTTTAGGGTTCAGGGTTTAGCTGTTCAGGGTTTAGGGTTTGGGGTTTAGAACTCTTATAGGGTAGTTACATGGGCCCTGAATCTGAAGTATGGGCCCTTGGGTTGTACAGGGAGTCTAAGGCGTAAATCAGGGGGGGTACATATTAAGGGACCATGTAACTACCCTAACAGCTCTAAACCCTGAACCCTGAACCCTAAACCCTAAACCCTAAACCCTAAATCCTAAACCCTAAACCCTAAACCCCTACACCCTAAACCCTAAACCCAAAACCTCCCCGGCAGCCTGCAGCCGCCTGTCGCGCCAGGCGCCGCCGCCCCGGCGCCCACGGCAACCACAGCGCTTCGCCAGAGCCCGTGGAGGTTGCCTTTGCGCCATGTCTTGGGTTTAGGGCTTATAGGGTTTAGGGTTTAGGGTTTATAGGGTTTATAAAAGGTTTAGGGTTTAGGGCTTAGGGTTTTGGGTTTAGGGTTTCCGCATTTAGTGTGTAGGGACCCAAACTGGAACCGAAAACAAACACACACAAACGGACACCGGCTGCAGACCAGGAACCCATCTACGTGCTCATGTCCTAGGACCATACCGTGGGGTACCGCCACTTGCGTGACGTTTCCGGGTTCGGAAAGGGATCTCGGCCTGCAGCATTTCTGCCATCGCAGCCTTGACGTCTTTGGTCTCGTCCTCCTGCTCTCCGAACTGCACCGCGACTGTCCGTCGTACTACTGGCAATCCTCCGATGTCTTCGTCAGTCAGTGATCGGACGGCCGTCTGCCGAGGATGACTCAAGGAGGCCAGACGCGGTGGTTCGCATGTACGTACACTCGAGCTTGCGGAGGGTCGGCTCGAGCGCAACTGCCCAATCGGCATCATCCGCAAGAGAGGCAGATCGCGCATCGCGGACCAGAATACGAAGCCTGATAGGCTCGCTTGGGCCCTTTCATACGCCTTGCGGCGTCCGACAGCAATGTCGGCGTGATTGAACAACTCCCCACCTAGTTCACTCGCCCGAAGGCGAACCCGCGCACGGTGCGGACGCTTTGCAGCGTTAGTTCCATCCTCAGGGGCGGCTGAAAAGTCTGCACCCTTAGGGTTTAGGGTAAAGGGTTTGGGGTTTAGGGTTATAGTGCTCCCAGAGTCGATCCCGAAAACTGACTGTAGGGGTTTAGGGTTTGGGGGCTTGGGGTTTAGGGTTTAGGGTTTCGGGTTGTGGGGTTTAGGATTGTGGGGTTCAGGGTTTTAGGGTTTAAGGGTTTAGGGTAAAGGGCTTTGGGGGCGCAATGTGGCCTATACAGACCCTACTTCAAAACACCCTGCGCCGTAACGAGGGCAACCTACATGCTCCTCGCGAGGATTGAGGGTCACCGGCTTTCGGGTTTAGGGGTCAAGGCTGAGTACCCCCCCCCAAAAAAAATCTGAAGTTGTATATGGCAAACCTTAAACACCAAAGCCTACAGGACCTAAGCCCTTAAAACCGAAAACTGCTGCAATGCTTCCTAAACCCGTGTCTGCGCGTTGGATGCTGCAGGGTATAGGTATGGTAATACCAAACAGAACAGAAGCCCCCAATAGAACATGACCGCATGCCCTTAGGCGGAAACAGGCTAAACCCTTATGTACTGTATGGCCCGGCACCAAAAAAACCTTAGAATACGAATCCATAAATTTGGAGGACTACCGAAGGCCAAATCAATGACCGGTTTAGCAGGGAGGCGTGGCGAATGGAGCCTGCTGTGACGTGTTCCTGAATGAACAACGGCAAGACAACAATGCTGACAGGATAACCAGTCCAAACCCTCAGCCCAACCCCCTTACCCCTAAACCCCTAAACCCGTAAACCCCTAAAGCCCCAAAGCCCAAAGCCCTAAACCCTAAACCCCAAGACCTAACCCCTCCAAACGTTCAAGGTAGTTTTGGGTTCTTAATGGCCAACCCCCCCCCCCCCCCCTTCCCCCCCGCCAAACCCAGGCTCGGGGCTTTTCAGGGGTTCAGGGATGAGGAACACCAGGTCCTACCCCGTAAAGCCCTAACTAACAACCCAAACCCTAAACCCTAAACCCTAAAGCCCAAAAAGGCGGAGTTCTCCTAACTGTAGCAGTGAAGTGGCAGAGTTCGAAGGCACGCAGGCTCGTCGCGCCATCGGGGATGTCGAAATACATCCTCGGTGGTGCGGGGGGGGGGGGGGGGGGGGGGGGGGGGTTCGGTTTTAGGGTTTAGGGTTTAGGGTTTAGGGCTTAGGGCTTAGGGCTTAGGGCTTAGGGCTTAGGGTTTAGGGTTTAGGGTTTAGGGTTTAGGGTTTTAGGGTTGAGGGTTGAGGGTTGAGGGCTTAGGGTTTAGGGTTTGGGGAAAGGGGGGGGGGGGCAGCGCATAGTACTTAGTAACCCAATGCTAACTGTACTTACAACCCAGTTATACCCTTATTAGGGCACTTAAGGGGCTTATACCTATCATGTACAACTGGGCTACTAAGTGCCCTGAACCTCCAAGTAGGGGTTGAGGGGGCGAGTCGTGCACAGAACTTAGGGTTTCGGATTCACGGTTGAGGGTCGGACAAGCACCTGCAAGGCGTGGAGGTATAAGGCTTAGTTGCTGAGTTCATAAGCCCCCCAAAAGTGTACACTTTCAGTTCTATAGGGGATTGTAGTATCCCAAAAAGTGCAACCCTAAACCCTAAACCCTAAACCCTAAACCTAAACCCTAAACCCTAAGTGTGCTCACTCAGCTGCTAAGAAGGGGCCCTTGTGCATATTTCTACGGGTGGTGGTGTGCATGCAGCCCCAAGTGTTGGAAGTATGGTGAAGCCGCCCCAAAAAAGGATGACGGCCTAAACCCTAAACCCTAAACCCTAAACCCTAAACCCCAAACCCTAAACCCTAAACCCTAAACCCTAAACCCTAAACCCTAAACCCTACACATCTGGTCCCCAGGGACCTCTGAGGTTTAAGGTTCAGGGGTTTTATGGCTTGGCCGAGTAGCAGCAGCACCCAGAAAAAGTTATGGGTCTAACCCTAAGCCCTAAATTCTAAACCCTAAACCCTCAACCCTAAATAGGGTGGGTAGGCACGCAGGGAAGGGAACAGGATAAACCCCTAAACCCAAAACCCTGAACAACCCAAAGCCAAACCCTGTTAAACCCTAACCCTAAACCCAAGCGCCAAAAACCCTGAAAACCCCGAACCCCCTCCAACAAAACCCAGAGCACACGCACAGCTTTTGAACGACCGCTCGCGCGATGGCGGACATGGCTCCAGGGCTCAGAATCTGGTTCGGGCCTTCAGGTATGTAGGGTTTAGGGTTTAGGGTTTAGGGCTTAGGGTTTAGGGCTAGGGTTTAGGGCTAGGGTTTAGGGCATGCCTCCAAAAGGCCTCTCAAGCCTCTGAACCTGCACCCTGAACTCTAGAGTTTCACCCCCAAACCGTGTACCAGTAGGCCCCTAGACGTTCGAACCTGAACCCTCAACCCCTAAAACCATAAACCCTTACCCCCTGAGACCCCCGACGCCCTAAAATCCTAAAGCCCCTAACATCTTGTAAACCCTCTACATCCTATAAACCTACAAACCCGAAAAACCCCACAAACCTTCTACACCCTAGACCCTAAACACTAAACACGAAACCCTACCTTAAAAGCCCTAAACCTTAACCTACATGTCCTAAACCTGAAACCCTACCCTAAGGCCTAAACCCTAAACCCTAAACCCTAAACCCTAAACCCTAAACCCTAAACCCTAAACCCTATACAGCCCAGGGAGCCCTTCAGAACATGCGGCGCTTCTTCCTGGCGCCCTCTCCACAGTTGGCCGCCCCCGGCTTCCTTAAATAAAGCGCTTTTTGGAGGGCACCCCTTTCAGGAAAGGAAGGGTTTAGGGTTTAGGGTTTAGGGTTTAGGGTTTAGGGTTTAGGGTTTAGGGTTTAGGGTTTAGGGTTTAGGGTTTAGGGTTTCGGGTTTCGGGTTTCGGGTTTAGGGTTTAGAGCGGTCCGAGCTTCCCCAGCAGCTGGCAGACTGACTCTGGGAGCTTACCATCCTTCAACATCGCCTCCAGGGTCTCTTTTTCCATCAAGGGTTTAGGGTTTAGGGTTTAGGGTTTAGGGTTTAGGGTTCAGGGTTCAGGGTTCAGGGTTTAGGGTTTAGAATTTGGGGGTTTCCGAAAATAGGGGTGCCCTTTTGGGAGGTCCCTTTAAGGGGATTCTATTCTGTTTGGGGTATAAAAAGGGGTACCCCTATTTTGGGAAATGCCCATTTTGTGACAGGGCCCTCAGCAAGGATTTGTTTTAGGGTTTCGGCCAGGGTTTAGGGTTACAGGGTTTAGGACTTGTAGGGAGCAAGAGCGTGCAAGCGGAACGTCAACCAAGACACTCCCACCCACCTACCCCTGCCCGCCTGCACTTCATCATCCTTCTTCCCAAACTCAGCGCATGTCTTCGCAAGTGCCTCGAGACCTTTGAGCACTGCTGCCTCAGCGATTGGGACGAAGCTTTGCACCGTGATGCTGTTGCGAAGAGCCTCTGCAAGAAGACGCACCACACTGTGCACCTGCCAGCGATGGGCCAAATCGATAGCCGCCAGCATGACCGTGAAGTCAGGCTCACTGCGCGTGGCGTGTGTATATAACAGGTCCAAAAACAAGGAGACGCCGCTGCAGGTGGCATCCGCTACCTCAACGCGTTTGCTTGCGCCTTCCTTCATGGAAGATTCCAGCATGGCTTTCAAAACTGGCGATGCGGCCATGAGGAGGAGATCGTGGGCTGTCACCTCACCATCTGTGGCGACGAATGTAACGTTGTGTGTGGCAGACATTTCCCGTACAGACTCCCAAAGGTCAAGGAGACATGGATCCACGGCAACCTTCTCTCGCTGGCTGCTGCGTTGCGTTCTCGAGATAAGTGACAGAGCCTGATCCAAAAAAATGCAGCCATCTCGTATATGATCCACTAGCGAGCCAAAGACACTAAGCTCCTCATGCAACATCAGCAGGAGTGAAAGTGCACTGTGCCCTGCCACCTTAAATGAATGCATGTCTTCTCCCCAAACGAAGAACTTAGATGAGCTCGACGGGGCTCTTTGCTGTGGATCTGCACCCGTTTGAAGCAGCCACTCAATGACTTGCAGCAGACACGATGAGGGATGCCCAAAGCCAGAGAGGATTGCATGATGTAGAGCCGGGGCCCCATAGATACCGCCACACGTGTTCCAGTCAAACCCCACCGGCGTGAACCTCTTCAAGGCTTCCAGGTCACCACGCTGCACGAGGGAAAAAATCACCTCGACTCTGAAAAGCACAAATTTAAATATACTCTTACTAGGATAGCAGGACTCACCCTAAACCCTAAACCCGAAAACCCAAGGGCACCACTGGGCTACCACGTATACTTGGCTGCACTTAGGATTAGCTATAAATTGTTTTTTTTAGCTGCCTTGTTAAGAAACCCAACAAGCCCAAAAAGGCTAAAGATCTAAAGTTACAGTAAAGCACCACAAAGTATAGAACACATGCCTCGTGGGGGAAGTCCCTTGCTGGCAACATGGGCAAGGCGGTTGGGCTCGAGCTCTCAGGGCTCGTCATGATATCGGGAACGAACGTTTAGGGTTTGGGGTTTGGGGTTTGGCGTTTAGGGCTTAGGGTTCAGGGTTTAGGGTTTAGGATGTAGGGTTTGGGGTTTAGGGTTTCGGGTTTAGGGTTTAGGGTTTAGGAATTACCGATGCCAGGCAACCTGAATGTCCTGAATGTCAGTGCCTGCTGCCATCATCAAACAGGAGGCCCTGAACTTGTTGGACCCCAAATCCTGAACCCTCAACCCTATAAACCCTGTAAGCCCTATAAACCTGTCAACCCTACAAACCCTATAACCCCATGAACTCTATAAACCTCTAAACCGTCAGACCCTATAAACCCTAAACCCTCTCAACCCTAAAGACCCTATAAACCCTATAAATAGACCCTATAAACCCTACAGAAACCCAAAAAACAAACTATAAACCCTATGAACCCTATGAACCCTGAAAGACGAGGATTCCGCAATTCAAGCGCCAGCTCGAGCGGAAATGGGCACCGTCACACAGCTCGTGTGCCGCTGACATGCAAACCCCTCAAGCCCTGAGGTTTAGGGTTTAGGGTTTAGGGTTTAGGGTTTAGGGTTTAGGGTTCAGGGGGTCATCTACTTAGAAACCCTTCTGGCTTAGCAAGTTTCGTTAGTAAGGTGGGCTATGGGGATTATAGACAAGTTTCTGGGGGATGAGAAGCAGACTTGCTAGATCAAACGAGCTTCTAGGTAAACCCCCTAGACCCTAAACCCGTAAACCCGTAAACCCGTAAACCCGTAAACCCTAAACCCTAAACCGACCCATAACTCTGTAAGTTGAGCCTTGGGGCCTTGAGACACCCTGAACAATCTACCACGAACAACGGGGGGGGGGGGAGGGGAAACACCAAACCCCTAAACCCTAAACCTCAACATAAAAAGCCCCCAACAAAAAAGCCGAAACAGCCCCAAGACCCGAAGCGCATAACCAACAATCCTCAATCAGGGTCCAGGGTTTAGGGTTGAGGATTCAGCGTCCAGGGCATAGGGTTTTTAAGGGTTGAAGATTCAAGGCTAGGGTTTAGGGTTTTTGATGTAAGGGTGTGTGAAGACCCAAGGGTGTGGGGTTATTGGGGTTCAACTATTCGGTCGGTCGAAGGCTCAAACTGCGGGTGTTGCTCATGCCAAATAACGCCCAAACCCCAAAGCCTAACCCTTTGCCCTACACGCCCTTGATGCCCTATAAGCACTAAACCCCCTATAAACCCCCTAAACCCTCTCTACACGCCCTAGAAGCCCTGAAAACCTCCTCCGCCTCCCGCCCTGGACGCCCTAATAGCCCTAAACCCCTATCAATATCAAACCCCTAAACCCTAAACCCTAAACCTAAACCCTAAACCCTAACCCTAAACCCTCAACCCCCTAAACCCTAAACCACAGCGCGCCGAGCTGCGTGGCGGGCGCCGGCTCAGCTGGCGACAGGTGCCGCATGGACACCACGTTGCCTGCGGGAGCTGAAACGGCTTTTGCTGGGGTGCCGATTGTTGTGGGTAGCCCTAAACCCTATAAGCCGGGCTTCGGGCTGCCCGAGGGGTTTAGGGTAGGGTTTAGGGTTTAAACTCTGGGCCAGGGAGAACCCCTAACATTTGGCCGTGAACATATAACGGTCCGCACTCCCTGGCAGGGGGGAACCGCATCAATTTTGATCCTTCTGCCGGGGGAGGGCGGGGGGGGTAGGTGGGGGTAACAAAGCCCAAACGCAGCACCTAAAACCTAACCCTAGACCCTAAACCCTACACCCCCCAGCCCTACACAGGTGCGCCTGCTTGGTCCTCTACCCACATGGTCTGAATGAAGTGAATGTAATCCGGGTTGTCCTCCATCCTGGATAGGATGAGTTGGGGCTAGGGTTTAGGGTTTAGGGCTTTGGAGTTTAGGGTTCAGGGTTAGGGTTGAGGATTGAGAGTTGAGGGTTGAGGGTCTAGGGTTTAGGGCTTTGGGTTTAGGGTTCAGGGTGTGGGGTTCTAGAACAGGAACCCCAATAAGGAGCCACTTGGGCCAAAACCTCGAGCAAGAAGCGTCAAACGAGAGGGGAGCTAACGTCTGGGGGCATTTTGCAAACTACCCGGCTAAGTCTTTCAGAACTGTGCCATACGCGAGTGCCGAAACCCTACAGTAGTTACACACCCGCGGCCCTGACCCTGAACCTGAAATCCACAAACCCTACACCCCCTAAGCCTCCTAACCCAAAACCCTGACCCGAATAAACCCTGACCCTAATAAACCCTAAACCCTAAACCCTTAAACCGCTAAGCCTCCAAAGCTCTAAGCCTCTACATCTCTGCGACTGCTCGTCCCCAGTCCTAGAACCCCCCAAATCAAAAGCTACATGTGAGAACGCGGAACCCCCACCCCTGAAAACCCGAAATCCTCAAGCCCGAAGCCCTAAACCTAAACCCTAAACCCTAAAACCTAAACCCTAAACCCTAAACCCTAAACCCTAAACTTTAGGGTTTAGGGTTAAAGCCTGAACTTCAGAACCCTGACGTCGGTTCCAAAACAACTCTCAGACCCTGAGCCCTAAACCCTAAGATTGGGGTAGTGAAACTGTTAGGGTTTAGGGGGTTTAGGGTTTAGGGGGTTTAGGGTTTAGGGGGTTTAGGGTTTAGGGTTAGGGTTTAGGGTTTAGGGTTTCGGGTTTAGGGTTTAGGGTTTAGGGTTTAGGGTGATATGGGCCCTTAAACGCGGGGCCCCCTTATATACCCCTTATAAGAACCCTTTAAAGGAAGTAAAGGACCATATGAAGGGCCCATATGAGTGCCCTTAGATAGACCCCACCAGCACTCAACTAGCACAAGAGGACTCGGTTCCCTGAGCTGGAGGTGGGTTCCACCCTAAACCCTAAACCCTAAACCCTAAACCCTAAACCCTAAACCCTAAACCTTAGGGTTTAAGGGTTCCCCAACTTGGCTGCACTTAGGACTTAAATTTTTAGCTGCCTTGTTAAGAAACCCAATAAGCCCAAAAAGGCTAAAGATCTAAAGTGACAGTAAAGCACCACAAAGCCGATTAACACCTAAACGGCTCCGACCACCCACATTGTCACATCTCATCTGCACCCCTAAGCCCTAAACCCATGAACCCTGAACCCTGAACCCGGAAACCCTAAACCCTAAACCCTAAACCCTAAACCCTAAACCCTAAACCCTAAACCCTAAACCCTAACCCGGAAAGGAGACTGTGGAGCCGAGGAGCGGATGGATCTTATCCGCAGCATCACCCGTCACCGCCCCCTTCCCGACCACGACTCGGCCCCGCGTTCCATTGAGGACGATGTACGGGCTGTGCTTCTCCTTGGAGCTTCGGGGTTTCGGGGCCCCGAAAGCCTGAACTCAACCTTCGGGCTCGGGGATGCTAGTTCAGGTCTTCTGCTTTTTTTTTTTTTTTTTTTGGGGGGGGGGGGGGGGGGGGGGGTGGGGGCTGGGTTTGACGGTTTGGCCTTAAACCCTAAACCAGAAATCATGGTTTGGGGCCTAAGGCTTTTAGAGCTTGGGGGCGTTTAGCGTGGCAGGTCGTTTCTGAGGTACTCTGAGGTACTCGGAGAAAAATGGGCCCATATTCTATGTTTTGTTCTCCGAAGATACGGGTACCCGGTCTAGGGCTTCCTATAACGATATCAGAATCATGTTGAGTTGTGTATATTAGGGGTACCACCCCCAGTTTGAAAAAAAATATGCATATCGGATTCCCTTATGATAAGGACCCCAATAAGGTACCCCTTTCGGAAACGCCTATGTGTACATATATATATATATATACACATATACAGCCTAACCTTAGAGGTACCAGCAAACAAGTTGCAACGGAATACAGGGGCAGACGAGGAAGGGACTTGAGGGTTTAGGGTTTAGGATACCCCTTGCTCCCGACAGACCCCCTCTGTTTCTGGAACGATGCACGAGGTTTAGGGTTTAGGGTTTAGGGTTTAGGGTTTAGGGTTTAGGGTTTAGGGCTTCGGGTTTAGGGATCAGGGTTTAGGGTTTAGGGTCGGCGTGGGCACATGGACGAGCCGACCCAATGGTGTGGCTAGGCCGAGTGGATAGCTGATTCGGCTCGGCCTTGGAGTGTATTTCTGCAAAAACACAATCCAGCACACCCGACTGAAGGGGGGCCTCTAACCATGAACACACAACTTCTAAACCCTGAACCCATAAAACCATTAAACAAAAAAAAAACTTTTGTCCGAGACTCATCCTCAGCCCCCTCGCTCCAAGGCAAAGGGAGGCTCTGCGCTTCCTCACATGGCGACGAGTGCTAGGGGCTTAGGGTTTTCGGATTTTCGGGGGTTTGGGGGTATAGGGTTTAGGGTTTAGGGTTTAGGGTTTAGGGTTTAGGGGTATAGGCTTTAGGGTTTAGGGTTCAGGGTTTAAGGTTTCGGGTTTAGGGTTGCGGATCTTGTAAGCCCTACGCCCTTAACACTCAACCCCCTTAGGGTTTAGGGTTTAGGGTTTAGGGTTTAGGGTTTAGGGTTTAGGGTTTCAATCGGCTTTTGGGCTCATTCAGGAGGTGACCCTCCCGCTGGCCTTCCGGGGCACTACTTGGAGGTTCAGGGTACTTACCAACCAAAGATAACGGCACGTATAGCTGCACTTATAGCCCACTTATAAGCCCCTTAGGTGCCCGAACATGGATATAAGTACAGTTATAAGTACCCTAAACCCTAAACCCTAAACCCTAAACCCTAAACCCTAAACCCTAAACCCTAAACCCCAAACCCTAAACCCGAAAAGAGTAGGACTGTCTGACCATTGGAGGCACCTGCCATCGCAGGGCGTCGGCCACTGCAGAGGTGCAGTCCAAGGAGTCCTTCTTTACGGCTTGGGGGGGGGGGGGGGGAGGGCACTTAGGATTTAGGGTTTAGGGTTTAAGGCCAAGGAGTCCTTCTTTACGGCTTGGGCAGGGGGGGGTGGGGGGGGCACTTAGGATTTAGGGTTTAGGGTTTGGGGTTTAGGATTGAGGGCTTAGGTTTTTTGTGGTTCGGGGGGCTTGAGGGGCACAGGGGCATCAGGGTCTTAGGGTTTAAGGTGGGCTTAAGGGGCCTAAGGGGTTTCAGGGGCTTAGGTTTAGGGTCTAAGGGGCTTAAGGGGTCTAAAAGGTGCCGGGGTAAGGGTCTTCGGTGTTGAGGGGCTACGGGTTTAAGGCTTTAGGAGTTTAGCGTTTAGGGTTTGGATTTTTTGGAGCAGGGGGTTTGACTAGGGGCATAACAGGCTTAAGTTTCAGGGCTTCAGGTCTTAGGGCCTAGTTGCCTGAACATAAAACCCTACAAGATTCCTGAAATCCCCCAAGCCTAGATGCCGGAGTCAGAGTGTGTATGATGTGTATAGATATATATACATATATATATATAGACATAAATATTTCTACGTACACACACTCACTCTAGCCGTTACGCACCGCTTGTGGGTGTTACGGGTGTTGCAATGTAAACATACACATACACTGCGGGCTGAACGCCCTGATCATACATACGCGCCCATGTGAATTTCTACATACATACATACATACATACATACATACATACATACATACATACATACATACATACATACATACATACATACATACATATAGAGAGAGAGACTTGGCTGCGCTTAGGAGGGTAGCTATAAATTATTTTTAGCTGCCTTGTTAAGAAACCCAACAAGCCCAAAAAGCCTAAAGATCTAAAGTTGCAGTAAATATATAAATATATAGAGAGAGGAGGCTCTGTCGATTAGGGACCCCTGGTGGGGGAACGAATACCCGCCGCTTCCGTTCGCCGAGGCCTTTTAGAGAGAGTACCCGAAAGAGGCCCTTGAACCCTAAACCCCAAACCCCAAACCCCAAACCCTAAACCCTAAACCCAGGTTTGAGGGCCGTTTCATCCCCAAGGGACGCAGTCTCTTCTTGGGTACATACCCGTGACTCCTCACATGCACCAATAGGCTGAACGCTAAGGCCCTAATACATATGTGTGGCATTCTCGAAAGAGGGTGGAACTCGAACCCATTTTGGAGTATGTGGGGCCGTATGCTGTTTTAGTCATACTCTGAACCCTCTACGCCCTAAACCCTCGAAACCCCCAAGCCCATGATGCGACATGTGGCCTCGCTTGCCATGAGGTCGCAGAAATGTGCGTGCAGTCCATGGCAAAGCAAGCGATCTGTATTTAGGGAGGCTAGGGCCTGGTATCGAGCTGCGGCTCGGGTGGGTTCAGGGTGTTGGGCTTAAGATGTAAGGTTTAGGGCTTCAGAGGCTTAAGGGTTTAAGACGGTCGAGGGTTTGTGGGTTTAAGGTTGGAGGTGGAGGGCTTACAGGGCTTCAGGGGTTCAGGCTTTAGGGCTTTGGGCTCCAGGTGCCTTCTCCGAAATCCAGCAGCCCGTCCCCCTCCGCTTCTGTTGTTCTGCGGTCCTCTTCGAGCGCAAGAAAGGCAATGCAGCAGAGCTCCGCGCCAAGTAAGGGTTTAGGGTTAACTAGGTCTTGGGGGCTTGGGGACTTCAGCCCCTTGTAAACCCGCAACCATCATCAACACGCCCTAACTAAAAATACTAACCGTGGCCCAAACTAACTAAACATACTAACCCTAAACTTACCAACCATTCTCAGGGTAAAGTTCGACAGAATACTCTTGCCGCGTCGCACCCCCTTTTCTCTGCCTGTGGGATAGGCTGGGCATTCAGGGAAACGCAGAAGCAAACTCTAAACCCAAAACCCTAAACCCTAAACTCGTCTGTAGGAGGGCCTTAGGGCTTGTCGGGGTTTAGTAGTGGAGGCGTCTATCGGGGTTGGCTTGCACGCCTGTGGGATCAAGATATTTCCAGGATTTAGTCTGACTTATTTTATGGGGCTACGAGAAAAAGGTCTGTACACAGATGTATACAGAAGGCTTTCGCGGAATCGCAAGACCTAAACTCCACATAAATGCGCATGGTCATTTTTCTCAAATGTGCCCCTTTTGGGCTTCTTCTTCTAAGGCGGCCCCGAGTATTTACGTAAGTACTCTAAAAAAGAGATTTCACCACAGAGGGGTTGTAGGGTGTGCAGAGGACCTTCGCGGGGTGTTGACCCCCAAACCCTAAACCCTAAACCCTAAACCCTAAACCCTAAACCCTAAACCCTAAACCCTAAATATTGAGGCTGGGGAAGTCCTCCGAGGGTTGCATCTCAAGCTCAACTGCGCTTCTAACAGGGTGGGAGGGTTTTTGGGCTTCGGGCTTCGGGCTTAGGGTTTAGGATTTAGGGTTTAGGGTCTAGGGTTTAGGATTTAGGGTTTTGGATTTGGGGTTTAGGATTTAGGGTTTAGGGCTTAGGGTTTAGGGCTTGGGGCTTAGGGCTTAGTTGGGGCTTAGGGCTTACTTAGGGCTTAGGGTTTCGGATTTAGGGCTTAGGATTTAGGGTTTAGGGCTTAGGGCTTAGGGCCGCGGCCTAGGGCTTAGGGCTTAGGGCTTAGTTAGGGCTTAGGGCTTAGTTGGGGCTTAGGGTTTTGGACTTAGGGCTTAGGGCTTTGGGTTTTGGGTTCAGGGTTTTTCTTGGGGGGGCGACTTTCGGGATCTCTAGGGATTTAGGTTCACTAGGCTGGCCCCATTATACCAAATACTCCTCTGAGTCGTGCTCTAAATTATATATATATATAACTATATAAATATAAATAAATATATATATATATAAGTAGGTTCCCTTACATGGAAAGAGAGGGAAATTTAAAAAGCATATCCCAAAGCACAAGCTAGTCCTAGATATGATACTCAGAGACATCATTCAGGAAGGTGTAACATACTACCAAGGTTCCTATAAGGCCTTTGACTGGACCTTTCAAGTTCAGCACGCCTTCTAATCCCTGGGGTCGACATTGAGCTGCCCTCTCAAGGGGTTTAGGATTTAGGGGTTTAGGGGTTTAGGGGTTTAGGGGTTTAGGGGTTTAGGGGTTTAGGGGTTTAGGGGTTTAGGGGTTTAGGGGGTTTACTAGGTCTAGGGGTTTAGTAGCTCGCCCTCCTAATTAACATGCTATTCTCTGTCTTTCGGCGACTCAGACAAGGAACTTTAGCTAAACCCTGTGGCCCCAAAGCCCATGTTCGGGGCTTCAAACCTTGCGTGCTTTTCTGCTTTTTTTGGTTGGGTTTAGGTTCGGGTTTAGGGTTAAGGGTTAAGGGTTAAGGGTTAAGGGTTAAGGGTTAAGGGTTAAGGGTTAAGGGTTAAGGGTTAAGGGTTAAGGGTTAAGGGTCTAGGGTTTAGGGTTTAGGGTTTAGGGTTTAGGGTTTAGGGTTTAGGGTTTGGGGCTTCACACCTTGCGTGTTTTTCTGTTGGGCGGGGGGGGGTGGCGGGGGTGTACCTAACTTCGCCGCGATGGTATGCGCACCCAAAGGGTATTAGTGTATAGTTATAAAAGGGGCCACAAGGGAATACTATTCGAAATTATTCCGACCCCGACATCACGTCAAACCCTTTTGTTGGGGAGGACAGGGCAGGGGAGGGAGGGCAAGGGCGTGGGGGGGGGGGGGGGGGGGGGGGGGTACCTTAGCATGTTTTTAAGAGAACGATTTAGGGTCAAGGGGGGCCTTCAAGTAGCTAACTAAACCTAAACTAGACCCAGGAGTAGCCTAGCAAAAGAAAGGGGGAAACCTTTTTGGTTTAACGGGATTAAAAGGGAACCCCCAACCCTAAAAAAGGAAATAAGGGCCTACTCCGGGTCCTCGTAAACTCAAACACTTGGCTGCACGCAGAAGGGTAGCTACAAACTAACTTTTTTGCTGCCATATTAAGAAACCCAATAAACCCAAAAAAGCTAAGGATCTAAAGTTACAGTGAAGCACCACAAAGGTATATGCTTAGGCTTCAAATAGCTAACCTAAACCCTAAACCCTAAACCCTAAACCCTAAGCCCTAAATTCGAGTACCGAACTAACCCTAAACTCCAAAATCTGGCACCCAAACCAGGGTGCTGTGGGCCCCTGCGTCCCAGAAGCGCCTCCTTGCAAGGAGGGCCCCACTTCGGGGGCTTTGGTTGGCCCTAAACCCTAAACCCTAAGCCCTAAACCCTAAACCCTAAACCCTAAGTTTCTGGTGGTGGAACTAGGGCATAGGGTTCATGGTGCACGTGGGTGGTCGGGCCGCTCTTCCTTTGACCCTGAAGCTTAGCATGGTAGCCCAGTAACCATATTAAAATAAGGGCACCCTTTTTTGGGGTTGGCTACTTTATAAGGGAACCCAGAACCCAAAAAAAGGGTAAAGGGTGGGCTACCAAGTCAGCAGGATAGATGACGTATGATGTTGTACGATCCTCAAAGTAGCAAGTAATCGAGGTTGAGCTTAGTGTTTGGAGTCCCTTATAATAAGGACCCCTAAAAAGGTACCCCCTAAATTCCGAAAACCCCTAGACCCTAAACCCTAAACCCTAAACCCTAAACCCTAAACCCTAAACCCCCCCCCCATAGCTCGGCAACTCTCTCATGGCAGGCCTTCCCCTTGAAGACGCGGTCCCCGGGCGCGGCCATGGGAACTCGTAGAGTGCCCAGTCGCCGAGAAGTGTTTAGATGACCATGTGACATCCGCTCACCAAAAGTGTCCTGGTTTAGGGTTTAGGGTTTAGGGTTTAGGGTTTAGGGTTTAGGGTTTAGGGTTTAGGGTTTAGGGTTTAGGGATCTTAATTACCTCCGACAGTGTAGCTCAATTTCTCTCCTAAAATTGATTCATATGAGTACCCCATGCTGATGATAAGGCTAGGGTTCAGGGCTAATTGACATTCTAGGCATGCCATGATACTCCTGCCGTACTATATATAGGATGCAAGAAGGGGGCCCAAACTTAGAGAACTACCCAAATCCCAAACCCAGAGACACTTCAAACACTAAGCCAACCAGGGTCTGTGGGGGTGGGGGGGTGGGGGGGGGGGGGGGGGGGGTGGGTGGCTTAAATAGGGTCTATTTGGAAGCTGAGACTCGGGTTTTTAGACTAACCAATGCGTCTCCACGAGAGATTCTTGGAAGCTGAGAGTGGTGTTTTTGTGTGGTAGATACAAAGGAAAGGGCATAAGAAAGTAGCGAAAGGAGCTCCTCAATTCCCTTCCTTATCTCCTATGCTCTTTTCTGTATTCATTGCAACAGGAGAATACAGGAAAAGGGCCTCCATTCCCCTCTTGTTCTTCCTTTCTTGTGTTTTTGTCATTTAAAGAGGAATAGGAGAAGAGAAGGGAAAGAGAAGGAGAGAGGAGAGATAAAAGGAAGACAATTTTAATGGGAATAGCCAAGAAAAGAATAGAAGAGAGATGAACAAAGAAGATGGAGAGACAAAACAAGGCGCAAAGAAAATGGCACAGCGGGATTGGAATCACAAGGCCTCCTCCACCATAACCACTCGAAACGGAATCGCAGGGCAGCGATACGTCACTTTTGGCACGCATACTTCGCGATGATGCTGCAGAAGCCACGCTTGCGTGACAACCGGTGAAACCTGTGCTTTTTGGGAGTCGTCGATTGTAGGTTAAACTCGTCCACGAATTCCATCATGCTCGCCTTCCGCTTGTTCTTCCATACGTGCTGGCGAGCTTCGCAAATCAAATGCCCGACTTCGGGCAATGATATCGAGCTTCCCCACAATCTCCGGAATTGCCTCCGCCCTTTCAAAATGTTCCGGACCTTGGCGATCTCATCCGTCCCCATTACGCCGCCTCCAAAGTGGACACCAGTGCCCAGGCTGCTTGTGGGAAGATCTACCCACGCGCACCCGAGTCGATGGCAGACATCCGTGAGGATTTGCAGCCGCACGAAGGCCCCGACTGAACAGCGTTCCTGCAGCATGCGGTCTGTCAACCTTCGTTTGTACGGGGTCAATTTCGGCAATGCTTTCCAAGCTCGGTACTCCGAGCACCACCGCTTATGTTTGGCCAGACACACTTGTCCACTGCTGTACCCGTAGACTCTGTATGGCAGCGTCTTGCGGGGCACGGGGCCCGTAGGCAAGTTGCCTTTGGTCCGGAAACGCGATGATGTTACACAGATTGCCCGGCACCGGAAAGATTCACGAATGAAGTTGCTCACACCATCGGAATCAGACTTATTCTTGATCTTGGCGGAAGAGGACAGCAGCTTGAAGAGCTTGTCATCCTTCTTCGAAACGTTCGCCCACGGTTGCTGGACGCGCTTCTTTTGCTGCAACCGCGTGCAGATCTCTCCCATCACCACAGTGTCTTGCCCAGTGCAGATGTTCAGCAATGTTTCTTCAAGTTGTTCCCATCTTTGCTTCGCTGCCCGGGCTGCTTGGACCGCTTTGCGGATTTTGGTGTAGCTCTGCAGAACGTCGGCCAAAATGCTCAAACGGGGAATCGTTCGTTTGTGACCCTTCGCCATCAGAGGTAACCCTGGGCGAAACTAATGCTCATTACTGCTCTCGTACGATACGGAAGTTACACATATGGGTCCAAAGCCTGATGAATCGTCGCGAGTTGCCTTACTTCCTCGCTCATCACCATATGAAGTCTCATGAAATGCCAGAAAGTTAGATGCAAGCAATGATGAAACTGTCCGAATTTTGGGCCGTTGACTTGCAGCGGCAAGCATTGGTTGACCGGTCGCAAACCAATGCGTCTCCACGAGAGTATTCTTGGAAGCTGAGAGTGGTGTTTTTGTGTGGTAGATACAAAGGAAAGGGCATAAGAAAGTAGCGAAAGGAGCTCCTCAATTCCCTTCCTTATCTCCTATGCTCTTTTCTGTATTCATTGCAACAGGAGAATACAGGAAAAGGGCCTCCATTCCCCTCTTGTTCTTCCTTTCTTGTGTTTTTGTCATTTAAAGAGGAACAGGAGAAGAGAAGGGAAAGAGAAGGAGAGAGGAAAGATAAAAGGAAGACAATTTTAATGGGAAGAGCCAAGAAAAGAATAGAAGAGAGATGAACAAAGAAGATGGAGAGACAAAACAAGGCGATTAGAGCAGCAAGCAGTAACAAGTACGCGACCGCGCAACACCACTTCCTTTCTTGTCTCGGACCAAGATCCCCAGAAGTCCTTCGAGCGCTCTCATTGGCATTTCACCACTGACGATTACAGCAGCAAGCAGCAACGAGTACGCGACCGCGCAACACCGCTTCCTTTCTAGTCTCGGAACAAGATCCCCCAGAAGTCCTTCGAGCGATCTCATTGGCATTTCACCCGCGCAGGACCCTGCTAGAACCCAAATGCTGCTCCGCAAGACTGACTATCGAACAGTCCATGCCACTTCCCTTCTTGTCTCGGAACAAGTTCCCGCATAAATGAGCACTGACGATTAAAGCAGCAAGCAGCAACGAGTACGCGACCGCGCACGACCGCTTCCTTTCTAGTCTCGGAACAAGATCCCCCAGAAGTCCTTCGAGCGATCTCATTGGCATTTCACCCGCGCATGAACCTCCTAGAACCCAATTCCTGCTCCGCAAGACTGACTGTATCCTCTAGTCGCTGCTTCGACCAATATTATTTTTGCACGGTACCTGCTGCTGCTGAGACACGGAGCTGCAGCAAAGGCCTGCCGGCACGAGTAGCATTCATAGGACGCTCGTGATATCTACCGGTGTAACTTTTCACTCGGCAACAGTGTGCTGCGTTCTTGCTTTGCATGAGAACCTTCGGGAATGTGCGTCTTCGAATATGCCTTTTTCTTCTGCGACAGCGTGATCGGGAAATGCACAGCTTACCTCTACACCTGCTTGAATTTCCGCCCTGGCCTGATCAACGGCCTGAGATTTCTCAGACGAAAAGGTGTGCGTCTCGTTGGACGACTTTTGGGCAGAGGCGGGGCTGCTGATTTCTTGGTTTTCAAGGCTGGCTTGGGACGAGCTTCCGTGTCCCTTTTCCGTATTGCCTCCCGCACTGCCTGGCCTTGCTTGAGGACCTGGAGCTGAGCTCGCCTTGGAGCAGATCCTGGCACCGTCAACTCCTTGCACCAAGCTTTCCACGCAGGGCTCGGGAGAATGACTTTGACGTTGGCCTTCAAGGCTCGTCTCGTCATCTCCGCTTGGCTCGCCTGCCTTTGCAGAGGCCTGTAGAGGGCCTGGTTATGAGTGAACACCTTCACAAATTGGAAGAAGTCAAGCTTCATCACTAAAGTAGCCTTGTGCAGGGCAGCCTCGAAATGCGCACGCAAGACTCTCACAAGGGCACTTTGCGACAAATGAACTTAGGACAGGTGCAACCAAGTTGCTGTCTCCCGGAACCAGTGGTTGATCTCGTGATGGAGGCTCTCGTTGGATGTGGTTCCGCTGGGCAGAAGCACCAAGGATTCTCGCTCCACCGATTGGCGATAGCGAGTGTCGTTGAGCAGCCATTGGACTTTTGTCTGCGAGGCCATGTTCAGGATCAGCCGATGTAAAGAGACTCCCGAATATGTGATTTTCTGCACCTCGTCATAGAACAGAGAAAGGTGAGCATGGACTGCCTCAAGGAACCCGATCTCGGTGAGCCAGGGCTGATCAGGGTCCACAGTCTCGAGGTGCTCATATGCCTCTCGGGCAGACATGTCTGGCGCTTCTAGACGCTCTCGCATGGCTCGGACATCTGCGCTGGAAGAAGGTAAAACCTGCCCAGTGTAGAAGGGCCCCCAGGACGCAGCTGTGCGGACAGGGTGTCTTTTGCGAAACTTGTCCATCAGAAGTGCAAGCCATCGACTCCCCTGTGTCTTTTTATTGTTCATATTTTGTTGATACACCATCACGATGTGCATGGCATCGAGGGAGATGCTGCACAGGTTGGGCAGCACGCCTTTCAAGACTCGGAACATCTCTGCCGATGGTGCATCAGAGGCAACATGAACAACCTGGGCTCGATGATCCGCGGGCAAAGTGCTGGATAGAGTTTCGGCCACGACCGTTGCCTTCTCGGACCGGACGACTCTGATGAGCACAGCTGCCCCTGCGCGGCCACGACAGGTTAGTGTGCGGTAACCTGCGCTGGCTTCAGGTATGGCAGCAGTAGCCCGAGAGGACTGCGATGCGTGAAAGTCCGCCTGTCCAATTACCTTCAGGTTGATCTTGAAGGTAGCATCAACACTGAGGTACCGGAACTCGTCATGCGCTCTGCAGTCCTCCAGCAGACGCTGACGGAATTCATGGAATGGAGGTGCCTGCATCAAATCCTCGAGGACATTTGTCCAAAAGCCGTTGGTGGCTCGAGGTATGATGGAAGAAAGCTGGCCATCATGGCGCGTGCAGGCTCCCAGAAATGCAGAATATATTTTCTGAAGGGAACCATTCCCTGCAGCTGCCGCCTGCAGAAAAGCGCAGGCAAAATCATACGTGTAGTAAAAATTGCCAACACGTCGCAGGTCCTTGCTTGACTTGATGCAATGCAAGGCCATGATGCGGGGACCGTTCGCATCTAGGACGTACCTGACAGTCTTGTCGATGTGAACATTTGTTGTCGGTACAGGAGGCTTTACGTCGGCCCTCATGATGGCTGCCGACCGTCTCAGGAAGCCTGCACTCATGGCTCCACCCGCGATTGCATCGTGGTCATACAAAGCAATGGCTATTCGCAGCTGCTTGGTGCCAGATGGACAATACCTCTTTGCCTCTTTGTGCTGCGAAATCAGGTGCCGCCGAAGGTTTGCTCTTTTTTCGAAACGTCGCCAAGGACAGCACGGGCATACGCTGGAAAGGAAGGTGGTGTTGCTTTGAGAGTCTACGGCGCGGAGAGCTTCGTTCACTTCTTCCTGCAGCCTTCTGAGTTCCTCGCCCACGTTGACCTCCCCCTCGTTGCGCGAGCCCTCCTCTGGCTCTCCATCCATGGCAGCAGCGGGTCGTTTTCTACTGCTGCTGGCAACAGACGCACCTGCAAGCAAATCAAGGAAACCTGTGTCCGCGTGGTCCGACTCGGGGTCCTTCTCGACAATCTCGAACAGCATGGTCTCCTTGGTTCCCACGAAGGATTCTATCACCGCGGTAAGCCTCTGCCAAGTTGTCTCAAAGCTCTTGCCTTTGCAGGAAACTCGAATTGCTTCGCCGACAAGAGCCCGGACGCCCAAGCAGCAGGATTGATCCGGAAGCTCCATGTGCAAAAGACAATTCTTCTGGCGAGGTGCTTCCAATTTGCCAGCAGGAAGAAGATATTTTGTGTCAAGTCCATGCCAGTCGGCGTATCGCCGAACGTTTCGAGTTTCGGCCACCGCATTGGCTGGGGACTCCTCTTCCAAGGAAGACACGACACGCTGCAGATCCGCACCGATGAAGACCAAAGCTGCCGGGATGGAGTTCGGGCTTGTGCTCAGCAGGTCTGTGGAAGCGCCAAAACACGCGATGTCGGAGAGATGCTCGAAGGCGCTTCGCAGCTTCTCCTCAAAGGCGGGAAGAGTCTTGTCCTTGAGAGTGATGCGAAAAGGAGTCGCACGCGAAACGTGCTCTTGGAGATACTCGATCATGTCGCGTTCCACCTTCTCTTCCACTGCGAGGACGAGAGACTTTGCCACGAGAACTCCGTCGAAATGACAAGAGATATGCCCTGGCAAGTAGTGCATTCGAATACCGTGAAGGATGTGCTGCAGAATGTAATCTTCTGCGGCAGTCCACCAGTACGAGAAGACCGTGGCTTCAGGCCAGCCGGACTTCTTCTGGCCCCTTATCTCCGTGTACAAGTCCGGCAACTGTGTACATGCCAGCCAGCGTAGGGCGCGGCTTTCATCCGAAAGCTCCTGCAGAAATTTCTGTCCGTCCGCAGACAACCGGGAATTCTTGTCCATGCTAGCGCCATTGGCAGTTTCCAGCAAGAGTTGCTTGCCTTCTGCTTCGGAACAATGTAACTTGTCCTCGCAGACTTTTTTGCGATCGGCAGCCACGGCACGCCAAGCAGGCAAGTCGAGATCTGGCACCACGAGCGCATCCACCAGCTGAACTACGATGTTGAACATGCTGGCGTGCAAGTCTAAGTCTCGCGTCGACGGACAGCAGACGGCCCTCGCCAGCCGGGAGCATGACTGTGCCCCTCTTTGCTTGACGAAACGACGAGATCTTTCCTTCCTGGAGTAGAAGTACTCCCGCTGTACGGCAACCACTCCATCAGCAGATTGTTCCCCCGCTTCCGCCAAGGTCTTGATCTCTTCGAAAAAGTCCGCGTCCTTATCTTGCATAATGGCCAACTCCTCCCCAAGCTTCACATCACTGTCATGCTCGTTTACCTGCTTTCGCTTGATCCCTTTTTTCTTGCTGTCGCCAGCCTTCCGCTGCTTGTAACTTTTGGCTAGTGTCTTGAGGTTGAGCATGCGAGAAGCTTCCGGGGCTAGGCGCTGCCGCATCTGGGTCATGCTGAACTCCTCCGTGAAACACATGTTTTCATCTGGGCCCAACGGAATGACCTCTCCCAAGGCTTTTTGCGCCGAAATCCGCGGGAGATATATGGTCGTCTGCCCGGCTTTCTGCAGAACCGTTGACAGGGAAAGAAGCCGGCCATCTCCTTCCAGCTTGTCCAGAATGTCTTGCGCATTCTTCCGGTCGAAGGTCAGAAAGGTGCGGGTTCTGCAATTTTTCACTTGAGCTGCAGTGAAAAAATCTTTGCGATCTTGCACGAGCCAGCCTTGGATTTCCTCCATAGTCCGGTCTTGCTCACTTCTCCGTGCTTTTTGCACACGCTCGACCTCGTCCACGGGCTGCGGCGGTTCAGCAGCTGCGAGAACTACCTCGATGGGATCCACAAGAGATGCTTCGGACACGGCCAGACCACAACTGCTACGAACAGCAATGCTGGTAAGGCCTTCATCCCCTCCATGGACGTACCTTTCCAACATATCTCGGCAGTCTGCAGCAGTGTAATGCCGGGCAAAATTGCAGACAGAACGCAAGGTCACGACACAGGCAGGATTGTCTCGTAGAGCGTCCTTCAGAGTCGGATCCCTGGCGAAGATGCCCTTCTCGGCAGCTCTGTCTTCTTGACCATGAATACGAGCTGCATCCACGAAAGTTGCCTTGTACCGACACACTGCGGTCCGACGGAAGATGGAGGGCAAGTTTTCCTCCGTCACGCCAACGAACCTCCGCGAGAACAGGCTCACAGGGAACAAGTGCAAAGAAAAAGACGACGTGACTGATCAAGTCAGGAACATGTGTCCACGCATAATGAGGAAGCTATGTCCTCTATCATTGCAGAAGCACACAAAGCGCAGCTTAACATTTTGGACGAGAAGCTTAGGATAGGCATTCATTTCGAAGCGCTTCCACCCACGCAATTCGACCAGCGAAGTGTCGATGGAATATGGAAGTCGCTCCGGAACCTTGTCTGCGGAGATGTGTTTTTTGTAGATGTCCTCCCGCATAGACTTGCGGGAGCCTTGCACGCTTTCCTGTCCCGTGACGACAATCTTTCCCACGAGTCGCGCGGCCTGCTTCCGCATCTCCTGCCAACAGAGCGAAGGTGATTCTGACCTATATGAAACACACGCTTCCCATGCACGCGCAAGCCGTCTCTCTCATGAGATGACTAGAACGTGCCTCGCCACGTCAACGAAGTAAATGTTCATGTCGAGACAGGAATGGTAGTTCCCCAGGAGAGCTTCCAGATGTGCAGTCTGCAAACTCTGGCCGACCCCGCCGGAGCCGACGCCCCAGAAAGCGCGATCCACATTCTCCCCATGCGCAGCGCCAGAGTCAGCGAGGCCATGCAGACTTGGAAAGCTCCTGCGTTCCCCCAGTAGGTCGTCTTCCAGAACTTCTCGACTCTGTTCTTGATTTCATTCGAGACAGGATCCAGGATGCGGTGAGGAAGCAGAACATAAAGGCTATTGTCCGGCGACTTGCGCACCGCCATCAAGCCTCCATTCTGCGTAAAAACAAAGCAGCCATCGGTCGTGCAGAAGCCACCCTGCCTGCGGACGTCTCTCGAACACCATGCGACATAGTATTTGATGACGCTGTCATTGAGGAGAGATGTCTGCCTTTGCGCACAGTTCGGGGGGCACTTAAGTCAGTCAGATCAGCACAATAGAAATACTGCGAAATTACGGCAAGGAACAATTTCACATAAAGCTTGCCGATGGTGTTCGCCATGGCCACAGTCCACAAGGTGCACCCGCCACCGCGGTTTTCAGCTTCTGCCTCCTCCTCGTCTTGCCCGAACTTCTTTGCGCGTGTCGGCACTCGGCAGATGGCTGCCCGCGCGCATTCTGCTAGCAGGGCCGGGCAGGACCCATTGTGCTGCTCGAGAAGCCGCTCTGTCTCGGAGAGGATGCTTTCAGTGCGACGCAGGACCTGGGCGCCAAACATCGAGTAGAGGCCCTCCAGGTGCATGAGGAAGCTTTGCACCGCGCCAGAGTACCTTGCGGTATGACGCCATTGTAGGCTGCCCAGTAGCCGAGCTCCGAGTAAAAAAAAAGCATTGTCCGTCGTGAGCTCTGATGTGGCGCCCGCAACCTTCGATGAGCTCGAGGAAAAGAACTTCCTCTCGACGGCTGATGTCCAGCAGGCGGAGATTCTGGACAGCTAGAGCACCTTGCACGATTTGCTGAAACTTGGAGCTCCACGTTGCACTTCCTGGGAAAGACTCGACGATGACGCGATTTCGTTGAACTTCTGTCAGGATGTCCCCGTCCTCCACAGGTGCGTCGACTTCTCGCGCGGGAACGATATCGTCCAGGTCTGTTTGCATGAACTCGGACACGGCAATCTCCAGGGCAGATTGCTTTGCCACGAGGTCGGTTCGTGGCCTCTTCGCACTTGGTGTTTCCTGAGGAATCGGCTGCAAGGTCTCCTGTTCTTCCAGCGACTCCTGCATCGCAGCATCCAATTCCTCCTGCACCCTCTGTGAGAACGAATCCGAGCTCACCTGACTTCCTGCCCGGAGATCCTGCATAGTTCGAGCACGCGAGAGATGCAGGCAGGACTGCAAGTCATCCCGTCGCCAGGTCATGAGCCTCTCCATGGCGTCTTCCATAACAGGAATGGAGACGATCAGAGGAGAAAAACCATTGTCCGGATGTAAACAGACGATGCGCAGGTCTGTGACGACGACCTCATAATACCGGCGCAGAATCCAGGCATAAATGTTCAGCTGAACACGATAATGCCAGAGAACTGCATCCGGAACATCCTGCAGCGGATAGTGGAGGTGACGTCCGAAGCTGCAGTCTTTAGAAGAGAGTTGTTTCGTTCTCTTCCAATCGACAAGACAGATGTCATTGCCGCGCACCGCCACAGCGTCGATGGAGCCAGCCAAATCTTCGGCTTCTGCGTAGATGGCCCATTCTGTTCTTCGGAAGGTCCACCCCTCTGCTTGGAAAAGTCGCACGAACTTGAGGAACATGCAGATTTCTGGCGATGCCACGGGGACAGAGCCTCCGTTGAGAAGGCACTCGCACTTGGCATGCAGCCATGTCCCTTCCGCAGCCGCAACTCTCCGATTGCGCTCCCACTTTTGCCAGAATCTGGGAATCTGACAAGGAGGCAGCCGTCGCCAGGTATTCGTACCCAGGGTGCGTCCAGATGAGGTCGCGAAGATGGCGGCACACAGCTGCCACGTCGACCTCCTCAGCAGAAAGGAGACGCTTGACTTCCACGCTGGCCGACGTGTCTCCTTCCAGAAGTCGCTGCAACTCTTGCACCATGTCGGGCGCGACGTACTCAGGACGAGGCCAGTTCTTCCCCCGACGCATAGCTGCCAATGCAGCGGTCGGGTTGAAGCTTTGAGCGAGGGAATGAATGAGTCCAGTGACCGACAGACTGACTCTCTGGCCTCTCCATGTGTACGAGTGATCTGCATCCCTGAAGAGCAGATCCCTGTCCCTCGGGTGCGAGTGCAGAACAGCGAGAACGTCTAGAATGACAACTCCAGCCAGCTTCTCGACGTCAAAAGACGCGGGCGTTCCCACGCAGATGGAACGTGGCCAGGCACCATGTCGCAGACACGCCGGAAGAGCGACCTCAAGTTCAAAGTCTCGCAATGAACAGTGCCCGGGAGTCCTTCGATGGGTGTCATCAACAACGAAGAAGGTTCCTGCTTCCTGAACATTCACGACATCTTGCAGTCTGCGCAGAACTGTGTCCTGCATCGGCTGATCAAATTGCGCCTGTGGGGAGAAATCCTCCGGGTTCGTATCGCACAGAAGCTCTTCAAGGGTCTCCATACGGTCACATAGCTGCTGGAACCCTTGCAAGTCGCTCGCAAAGCGCAAGTATTGTCGCCGCAGTGCATGGAGTCGACGTCTTTCGATTTGTAGCCGTGAAGTCGTGGTGCTCCCGATGGAAGACCCTGCCAACCGGTCCTCCAGGAAGGTTTCTGGAAGGCAGGAGAGACAAACATCCGTGCCTGCCAGGCCGTGCTGCTCGCAGAACCAGTGTTCGCAGTTTTGACAGCACGCTAGGCTTTCCTTGTAGCAATATGCACACGTTGGGTGCCCAAACTCTGCCGAGTACCGAAAAGGGAGATTGGTCACTCGGAAGTCCCTGGCGGACGAGCTCGGCGGAGCCACGCACATTGCTGCAGGACGAAGCCACGGGTCCAGGTTCTGCTCTACAGTCAATGGAACACTGGCAATGCATTTCTGATCCAAAGAGAAGTTCAGAAACTCTCTCTTCCACTCGAGGTGGTACGTGTGCGCGGAGCTGCTAGCCAGGGTGACGTCCTTGCGACCGGGACCGGCAACCCGCTGGCCATCACGGAGCCGGAACTCTACACCGCCATCTGCTGCAAGTGGTTTCCGCAACACGATGCAGGTGCTGTTGTCTGGGGTACTGATGTGCTGGACGCGACGAAGGGCCAGCACGAGGAACCGAGATTCCGAAGGAAGAGAAATCTCCAGGGACACCGACCGGCATGTCTGCTTCTCCGACCTCCAATAGGTTATCCTTGTCGAAGACGGAAGATGAACCGGAGACACCACACAAGGAAGATATTCTCCTTTCCCGTGAAGTATGACCCTGTTCCCGAGGACAGACACCGCGTGCAGCAGTTTGTGTGAGCAGGAAAGCACACGAATGCCCTGCGCCCACGCTTGCAGAAGATTGCCGAAGAAACTGCTTTGTCGGAAGCTCGCTCTCAGGTGCTCGCTGAGCTTGAGTTCGACATCGTGCCAGAAATTACCACGTTGGAGAGCTTGTCGGAAGTCAGCATTACAGGTTGCCAAAGAAAGGAAGTCATCTAGGCATCCGAGCCAGGGAGCCTGCAAAGGAGCAATTGTGATAAGCTCCACCGTCCCACCGCGTAAATCGGCCGACGCAAGCAGGAAGTCCGTCCTCACCTCTGCAGGCAAGAAGCAACTGCGGGCCCTGCTGGGCTCGGAGAGTGAATCAGCTGGTCCGAGCAATGAGACTGCTACCTCAGCCCACTGCTGCACATCGCAGTCCTGAAGTGGCAGCATTCCGATCCGATGGGGCCATCCAGAAAGACTTCCAAGGTTCTGTTCCACCATTGGACCTGCACGAGTCGTTCTGGCAGGACTGCTGGGAGAAAAGCAACGCAGGCGTCGTTGGGGCGTCCAAGCCGACTGTGTCCCAGTTCAATGGCCACGGTGTCATCGAAAGGTGCATTGATCTGGCACCAGCAGCGGTCGCATGCCCGGGAGGAGCTTCCCACGGAGATGACGACTCGCTGCGCGCTCTCCCTGGCAGATAGCTGGAAGTATACGGGAGAGAGCGCGGGCTGCTGCAACTTCCATTTTCGGATAGTTGTTCCGCACACAGTCCTGCGGGATTCGCACGTGGGCCATTCCACAGCCACGACACGAGAGGATGCTATTGCTCTGGCAAGCAACGAAATCCCAGCCCCCAGCCAGTTCGCCTTCACGGCCTCTGCCGGCAAGATACCTGCATGCCTGTCGGCCCAGACATCTGGCAGCGCCACCATTTCACGTGCATCTCGACACGCACGTTCGAAGTGGACAACCGATCGGAGATCCCCGAGGTTGCGCACAAAGTCCTTGCCGAGATGGACTGGGATGCTGTCGAGGGCTCCACCAGCAAGGTCTGCCCCGGCGTCTCGGCAGGCATCCGTGTCCTCCCGAGCACTTTTGCAACGTGTACATGTGTAGTGGACAAGAGACACGTGCTTTTTCTTTTTTCAGCATAAGAAAACAAGTAATATCGAGTGCTTCAATCTAGGCTTGTCCAAAAGCGCTCGCTCCTCGATGCAGAAGAGCCCAGAGCAGGCCGCTGGATCAATGAGCCACTGGCCCAGATCTGCGGAGAAGCCAATGGCGACGCCCGTCTGCCACCGGCACGCAGACTGCCATTCGTGACTTCGATGTCCGTGGTTGACCTCTAGGCAGCCGTCCTTCTTCCGGAGACCGATGAAGTGATTGCCGACGGTCAGGATGAACTGGCCATCCGCAACCATGGATAGACGACTCCACGTGGTACGAACAACCATCTTCCTCACATGTTCCACACAAAGACAGTAAGGCAGACCACACCGCTCCCGTGAGACTACCGCACGCTCGCTTGCAGCAGATGCTGTCCGAGAGGCCCGAACGCCTCGAGGAAGTTGTTGCCATCACGCATGGCCCAGAAGGGTCCGTCTGCCTGGTAGCCGCACTTGTACCCGTGGGCACGCAGCACGTCTATCAGGCAGACGTCCACATACCTCTTGTTAGCTCCTGCCAGCGGACAATTTCTACGGACTCTCCTCTTTCCTCAAGAAACAGCTCTGCATGCTTTCGAGCCACGCTCGGGGAAGTCGCGCTGGTAGGACTTCTTGTACATGAACATGCCTGCTCGGCATTCTCTGCAAAGAGTTTCACGTCAACTTCGATCCACTGTCCATTCGTTTAAGCCAAGGAGCTCGTGCGCTGCATCGTCCGATTGCACCGCCGGCTCCAAGCCTGTCTTGTGATCGACTTCCACTGCGCAGTAACCTGGGCCCACCATACAATGAAGACATGTTGGCCCCTGCTTCCGTACCACACTCCAGTCCACTGCAAACTTTGTGCAGTCTTTGCCGCTGCGGCGACAGGACGCGCGCTTGTGCGTGGAAGATTCCGAAGGCAGATGCTCTTCGCCAGAGCGTCCCAGCAGCTCAGCCGCCTGCCCAGTCGCGGCACCTGCGTCACAATGTTGGCCCCATGGAAAATGACCTTGCATGCGCGCGCCCTGCCTCTGCCTTGCCGAAACCGTTGTGTCTCCCTGGGTACACAAGCAGCCACTGTCTTACAGCCCTGGCTACGACGCTGTGAACTGCGCTGTCAAGTGGCAAATCGACTTTCTCCTGAACTCCTGCTCGTCCCCCGCACTCTCCTTCTGCCCAGCGATCCTCGTGCTCAAGGCAGCACAGCCACGCGCACCATGCCCGACTCAGGTCATGCCTGCATAATGCATGACTGTGTCCCACTGCGTGTACTGCTGTACTCTACATATCCGTGCTAGACTAGCGACACGCGTGCCGCCGCCCCACGGGGAAGCTCTGACCTCTCAGGTCCACATGACAGCAAGAGTCATTCAATCACTAAAGCCTTCCGAGCGCACGGCTTATCCTGCGCGACCGGCAGCTCGAAGTTCTCGAAGGAACTCAAGAATGACCTGCATGCAGCTGCATGCATTTGAGAAATCTCCTTCTGCCCACACGCGACCCTCCCTTGAGCGTGGTGTGTGTCAGACATCCCACTCGTAGACAAGAAGCAGGAATGCATCTGCAACATCCTCTGGCACTGCATCTGGATCCATTTCCTTGTCCATGACATTCCTGGGCTTGCTGACCGACACATATTCGGAATTCCCACGTGCTGCAGACCCCTGAATACAACTTGTCGCCGGCAGCGGTGCCAGTCGGGAGACACATCCGCATCTGCAGCGGCGTCGGCCGGACTCGCGGCCTCCGACCTCGTGCGATTCTTTCCCTGCGGAGAGGCTCCCTACAGAACGCGTGCCGAGCGCGGCACGTGCTTTCAAAAACATTGTCTGCGCCCTCCTCCAAAGCCTGCCTTGGAACACAAGAACGAAGCCACTTTCCGACTGTCCTTGGAACATACACCGACCCGTATGCTCGTCATTCACCTCTCGACTTATGCTGCTGACTCGACACACCAGTGTGTCTGCAACGACGTCGGCCGGACTGGCGGCCTTCGACCTTTCCAGAACATTCCCACCACAAACATTCCGCTAGATCTACCGAAACGAGCGCAACGCTTGCTTGCCACGTTCGGGGCGGCTTCGGACCTGGGCAATACGTATCCCTCGACGCAAACATGTGTCTCCACTTGCCAATATCGCAGCACTGAGCTCGCCCTAAGTGTCCTGCTTGGTCTTCTGCCACTTGCCATGACCGTTCAGCATCCCTGCAGAGACCACGGACATGATTCGACCACTGCGCTACCCAGCCTGTACGACATCTGTCCAGCAATGTCTCAGCCAAATGGTTGCTATACTGCACAGTCGAGTGACAGAATGTCCGCTGCTTCTCCTGCGATCCTGATTTGCAAGCAGAACACGTCCACACAAGCCCGCATCCTTTGCAACTAGTGGCTAAGTCAGAGGAACCGGATGTCGCTTTCCCTTCTGCCCCAGTCCTGCAGTCGCCGTCGACGCTGCAGGAAAACTCGTCACCGCCCTGCACATCCATGTTGCACACGACAGCATGCTGCCACTAAACCTTGCTCATGCACCACCAATCGAACGAACGAAGGAGCAGTGGTGACTTCAGGAGAGCCTGACGACCCGCCACCCCTGGTCAATGATGCCTCGCAGAGTTGTGTGTGTCGATGAATCACACTCTCCAGCTGCGCACTCACACCGACAAAGTCTGCGGGCCGCACGATACTCTGCTGGTTCCTCGCGCTTGCTGCGATCCAGCCTCGGCAACACAGTATTCACTTAGACGCCGCGCGTCGCGTGCCGCTAGTGGAAACCGCCCATCCCTAATCGCGAGTCACTCGAGGTCTTCATCCGCGAACCACTGGCACTTCGAGAATCGCATCATGATCCTGAGGTCCAACGTTGGCACGCTGTCCCTACCAGACTTTAAAATCTGACCTGAGTCTCTGGCGTGTGGGCACGAAGGGACAGCGACTGCAACCTTGGCTCCACGACATTCCTCCGATCCCCTTAATCTTGTCCATAAATTCAGGCCAGAAGCAGCAACGAGTGCGTGAGTGCGAAAGCTGCAAAAGGCTGAAGCCGAAACGCCGCATCGTCATGCTCTGTGGGACGCAGATCATGCGTGTGCTCGGGGAAGCCATCGACCCGTGTTATCCTCCGCTTCCACAACCTTTCCGACAGTAACCTACTATTCTCCCGCTTGGACTGTTTTCCTTAAAGGAACGATTCGCCAGTATCACTAGTCCACGTACACTTAGATGCACAGCTTCTGCTAACACGTGCGGGCCTCCTTGGAGTTGACTGCCGAGATCCGGACCTCGCGGCCGCACCAAAGTTCTCCACTTCAGCTCAACCCACTCGTCCGACTTTCAGACGACAGCTCTCCCAAGAACGGTTTTCCATGGACTCAGGGACTTCAGAAATCAACATTTCGTGCTCTTGCCTTCAGGACGGGGTTACGTCGCCAGAAGTAAGCAACTCAGGGACTTCAGAAATCAACATTTCGCGCTCTTGCCTTCAGGACGGTGTTACGTCGCGAGAAGTAAGCATGAAGCCACGAACCCAGAAACAAAGCTGAATACAACCATGTCTTGCTTCCTCTACGTAAGACTCTCCACCGCATAACATTTCCTTGCAACCACCTGCACAAAGCGCATGCGCAATCTCTCACGGGCAAAGCAAACGAGCCGGGATACCAACTCTAAAGCGCCAATGTCTGCGTGATATCACTAGTCCACGTACACTTCGGTCCACAGCTTCTGCTAACACGCGCGGGCCTCCTTGGAATTGACTGACGAGATCTGGACCTCGCGGCCGCACCAAAGTTTTCCACTTCAGCTCAACCCACTCGTCCTACCTTCAGAAGTAAGCATGAAGCCACGACCCCAGAAACAGAGGTGAATACAACCATGTCTTGCTTCCTCTACGTAAGACTCTCCACCGCATAACATTTCCTTGCAACCACCTGCACAAACAGCCTGTGGACTCTTTCAGCTCAACCCACTCGTCCTACCTTCAGACGACAGCTCTCCCAAGAACGGCTTTCCATGGACTCAGGGACTTCAGAAACCAACATTTCGTGCTCTTGCCTTCAGGACGGGGTTACGTCGCCAGAAGTAAGCAACTCAGGGACTTCAGAAATCAACATTTCGCGCTCTTGCCTTCAGGACGGTGTTACGTCACGAGAAATAAGCATGAAGCCACGAACCCAGAAACAGAGGTGAATACAACCATGTCTTGCTTCCTCTACGTAAGACTCTCCACCGCATAACATTTCCTTGCAACCACCTGCACAAACAGCCTGTGGAATCTCTCACGGGCAAAGCACAGCGAGCCAGTAGACCAACTCTCAAGCGCCAATGTCTGCGCGATATCGCTAGTCCACGTACACTTAGGCGCACAGCTTCTGCTAACACGCGCGGGCCTCCTTGGAGTTGACTGACGAGATCCGGCACAGTTTTCCACTTCAGCTCAACCCACACGTCCTATCTTCAGACGACAGCTCTCCCAAGAACGGTTTTCCATAGACTCAGGTACTTCAGAAATCAACATTTCGCGCTCTTGCCTTCAGGACGGTGTTACGTCACGAGAAATAAGCATGAAGCCACGAACCCAGAAACAAAGCTGAATACAACCATGTCTTGCTTCCTCTACGTAAGACTCTCCACCGCATAACATTTCCTTGCAACCACCTGCACAAACAGCCTGTGGAATCTCTCACGGGCAAAGCACAGCGACTCTCAAGCGCCAATGTCTGCGCGACATCACTAGTCACTAGTCCACGTACACTTACAGGTTCGCAACTTCTGCCAATGCGCGCGGGCCTCGTTGGCGTTGGCTGGCGAGATCCCGACCTCACGGCCGCACCAAACTTTTCCACTTCAGCTCAACCCACTCGTCCTACCTTCAGACGACAGTTCCCACATGTTCACACCCATTGGCTGCCTCCTGCCAGCAAAACTCCACCTGTATACACTCAGGCTACCAAAATGTGTACGCAGACGCTCCTTCGGGACTCCTGCCAAGCGACCGAAATTACACATTCATCCTTTCTTCCTGCTACATAAATCATTCCAATCAGAACATTCCTCTGCGACCCTTGAACACGCCTTACCCGACTCGGACAAGAGGTCAAAATCAGCATAGCAGTGCTGCCTCCCACCGGCGCTGTCAACAGGTCTTATGCTTTCACAACTTCTCCATTATCCTGCCAAATCGACAAAATTCCTGCAACTGAGGGAAAGCGCCTGCGCCAGCTCCTGCTTGCGCGTGCCTGCCATGGTCAACACACAGAGACACCAAATCCTG